GGCAGTAGCTTTCCAAGGGTTTCAGACCAGAATCTTCCTTAGCTGCACACAGAGATGCCAGAAATTGAACCCAGGGCCTTCTGCATGCCACTGAGTTACGGTCTTGTCCTCCCTTCCTGGCTCTCTCATGCACAACACAAATGCATGATTTTCAGCAAGCAGTACAGTGCCTATAGGAATATGCCCACAAAGAGCAATGTGGAAACTCAGGCACTATGTAGTATTATTCTCCTTTTGATTTTGCAGACACTTCTTCTGAATTTTATCCTGTGGGAAGATACAACAATCTGCTACACTGAAAGTGTCAGCCAAGAATATATATTTATATAAAAGAATAGCGCTTCTTGCAGGACACAAATAATGCTTTAGAAAACAAGATTCCCGACAAAGATTTCTCAGCCAACACCACTAATGTTCACTGTGTCTGACAACAGAATATTGAAGAAAGCAGATAAACACTTTCCAGACATTATTTCAAACTGGAAAGCAAATAGTTATCAAGAGGCAAGAAATACAAGGACAATAGGGATGGTTACAAAACATCTTCCACAGAAAAAAAAATGTTCAGCTTCTGAAGTTCAGATTAACTGATGGCGTCATCAGCACCCTCATGACTTTGCCTATGTGTGGATCTGCATAGGCACCAATTCATTGTTTTAAAATAATTTTCTTAAAAAGAGAAGGCTCAGATTATTATTTTTGGAAAGAGAGAAAATGGCCAGGAGCTGAAGCAGCATCAGATGTGTCCAGGCCAGCCAATCAAAACTCTGTTTCTCTAAAATGAAGCAGAAGGGGAGGAGCAACCAGAATGTGGAGAGCAAACACCAATAGATCATAAAAGAGAGTGTTGGTTGCATCCTCCACCTAGTACCAATATCAGGAACAGAGGAGAAAAACTGCCAGTCTGGTTATCCCTTTAGAGATGTGGCTTTGGCTCTCTAGGGAGTTCAATTAGGTCTGTCCATTTGGAGATGCAAAATCAGTTCCAAGATGCTGAGTTTCCACATAGTGCTGTCTTTACCATCTATTTCTGATGGTACCCTCCATGACTTGAGATGCCTGAGATTTGTACAGAGCACTGGAACATTTTAGGAGGAGCGCTTCTCTTTTTCTGTTACCAAAGACAAACAGCTGTATCCACTGTGAGTGCTTTCGGATGCATGTTTATTGTGGATGGGCACTTTTCATACATGAATGTTTATTGCAGCATCCACACATTGCCACCAGCATCAAAATGGCAGCCCATGTCCCTGCCTCCTGTTTATTCCAAAGTCACCCTGTCTGTGGAAAGTCAGGAAAGTTGTCAGTGACCTACCTGCATTATCTGAAGGACCTGTTTGTATTCTTAAGCACCATCTGACTCATATGGGTTTCACAAGCAACATTAGTAACTCTTTCTTAGAAATGAATCCACCAAGCACTGCCACCAATGATTTGCATGCAGATGGTCTTGGGTCCAATCACTGGCATTCCTGCCACTTTCTGAAACAAGAGGCAAACCGAAATATAGCCATCCTTTGAAATTTGCACTTCTCCGAATTTTGCAATGCAGTTCTTCAGCCATGTAATTACAAATATATATATGCGTAAAGTGTGCATATAAATGCATATATTTATGAAAATAGCATACAAAATGCATTATATCAGGAAAGGTTGCTTTCAAAAATGTGTATATTAGTGAAAAGCGCATGTAAAATATGTTTATTAGAAGAAATCACAGTAAAATGCTGTATTTTTAATTGATTGGTGGAGGGGGAAAACACAGCTCTATTGTAGTTTTATAAACTCCACCTGTTCTTCAGCTTTAACTCAACTTTTTACAACCCAAAAGTATTTAGAATACAATTTAGAAACAACACTAAGCAACCTAATTGGTTTAAAATTATTTGGATCTGTCTTAGAACCTCTTGTGAATAGGCACAATATATATTTGCTCTCCCCTAGGTGTTTTCCCATGGAATGATCGTGGTAGTAGACTGTCTAAAAAGGGAAGGGAAGTAAGCATGCCAATGCAATGAAGTAATTTTATTGCCAATAACATTCTTACACCCTCTTATCCCTTATCAAAGCCCAAAATGTAACTGGGCTTTTTCCAGGGCTGCTAAGCCTAACTCCATCCATGACTGCCATGTGTGCTCATCTTTTTTAGGTTGCAATGCATTTTATACTCTCCACACAAATCTATACTGCAGCTGATATTTTCTAAATTATCCTCCTGCCTCAATTTCCTTATTGCTGCTGTTGCTAAAGTGTGCTTCTGAGCAGCACATGCACATCAAACCAAGCTTGTTTAATTTATTTAACTGGGTAGGCACCTTTAGAGATAATCACAAAGGGCTTAATTTCATGTGCTTTTGTGCCAAAGATTTCCAGGGGGTTTGAGTAAGTCAAAAATTGTTCTTATAGAAATAACATCCTAGGAAACATTAAAAATGAGTTTATTGCTTCTTGCACCGCTCCAATTGCAGCACAATCTTTTGTCTCCTTGGACGATCAAATTATCCAAAGGAACTATCACTAGATGCTTTAGACCAGTGTTTCCCAACCTTGGGCCTCCAGCTGTTTTTGAACTACAATTCCCATCATCCCTGACCACTGGTCTTGCTAGCTAGGGATGATGGGAGTTGTAGTCCAAAAACAGCTGGAGGCCCAAGGTTGGGAAACACTGCTTTAGACCAATTGATAAAATAGTTAATTGGGTTCACATGTGACCACTCTCAGGTCTAATAAGAACTTTCAAGTTCTCAAACTAAGAAGCTGCTGGTTGTGAGAATCATAAATCACTCTTATCCTTCAATCCAATATATGTATATAGATCCATTTCTGGATATTTTCCTGTCCCATTATAAATACGCAGATGAAACTTAAATGAAAGGGCAAGAGGAGATTGGCCTGCTTTATTAAGACCAGGGTTTTTGAAGTTCTGATGAACAAAAAGCTCAATGTTTCTGATGCATGACCCATTTTCTGATTGAACTTGGGATCTTCTGCATGGAGACCAGGTGCTCCATTGAGCTCTGGCCCTTTCCATTTCTCCTTAAGTTACAGAATGCCCACAGGGAGTGGAGAATATCAGACATCTAATGCTCTTTGCACAACCTTGTTTAACAAAATTCTGGCCATTGAAAGCTACTGCTACCTGGTGTCTTCATCCAACTCCTAGCCACAAAAATATTTGTCCAAGGAGACTTCTAAGCTTTAGCACCGCTCTTGAGTTTTAGCAGATGCTATCCATGTGGCAGCTACAATCTTACTTTTAAAATGGGATTCCCAAGAAGACAAGGGCCCTATTCAAAAGTTCTCCCCCTCATACAATAAAGGGGAGAGTGGGAACATAATAGCTAGGTCTGCCCTCTCTTTCCCATCTCTCCTGCCAGCCTCACCACCTTCCACATACTGGAAGGCAGGTGTCTGCAGCAGAGAGTCCGGTGTACTCATTGAGTCTCCTCACCTGCTTTATAACCCTGCGTGATCAGAACTTCAGACTTGAACACACAGAAAACAATCAAATTGGATAGCTCAGTTGGTAGAGCATGAGACTCTTAATCTCAGGGACATGGGTTCAAGCCCCACATTGGGCAAAAGATTCCTGCATTGCAGGGCATTGGACTAGATGGTCTTCATGGTCCCTTCCAACTCTACTCTACAATTCTGTGATTCTATGCAGAGGCTGAAGAGACACCATGGAGGGGGTAGCAAGGATGTCTACACTCTCCTCCCAAGCATGCCTGAATAGGGCTAAGATGTCAAAATAGGACAATTCTATTGTCCAGGATCTAGGTTTTTTAAGGGTGTGCACTGATTTTGAGAATACTCATCACCCTTAACTGAGCTTTGGTGAACCTGTTCTCAAAGCGCCACTGGCTGGTACTGGCAGAAGCACCACACATGAGTGCACAGATAGTTGAAAGACATATCACCTTACTCAAATATCAGCTTTGATACTTATTTTATTATCTTCCAGATGCTCTTTCCAGTAACCTGGTTACTGTGAAGCTGAACCTCCAGAAATTGCTTTCTGAAAATTACAGGAAGGATCACTGGCCATGCAGTGGCAACCCAATACTTCTTTCAATCCAGTAAGAAAAATACAGCTCACTAGGAAGGTCAAAAGCTAAAAGGAAAGCAACATTAAAGAGAATAGATACAACTTTTCTATTTGCTTTAACCTTGTGTGAAAAGCTCAAGGCAATCTCTGAACAAGTGTATTTCAGATCTTTTTCTTGACTGACATTTATTAGGTGCATTTGTCAGCAAGCACAAAATAGAAGAAACATGATTCTATGGTAGGTGCTAGGAATCTGTTTACCACCATCAGGGAGATATTGGAATGACTTTAAGTAGAGTTTATCATCACTTATCTTTGTGGTATCATAATAATTTCACTTATCTTTTTATATCAGTTTGTTATAAAGATAATTTAAGGAAAGATAGCATTGCTATCTTAATAACGCCAGTGCTCTGGCATGTTCTATCAAATCTTATGCATGTAACACTATTCCCAAATAAAATAAGCTGTAGTTTATGATTGGCTGCAGCTGCAGGTGAGGGCTTCTCCTCCGCCCTTCTCCAGTGCCTCAGTGGTTTCTTAAAGAGACAGCTCCTCACCCTAATTTGGAGTTTCTTTAAACTTTTGAATTCACCCCTCCATCCCACATCTCTTCTAAAATGTGCAAAGATCTTTGCACACAGTTTTATCTTCAAACATTCTGTTGCCGCTTCCTTGCTAGGATATGTGGATTGGGAAAGTATCCCACACTGGCATTAGAGGTCTAGCAACACAAACCTAACCATTTCTACTCAGAAGTAAGTTCTGCTTACTGCCAGGTAATGGGATTAGGATTGCAGCCTACAACAGGTTATCTGCTCCTTCCTAAAGCTTTTGAATCCTTGCTTTCTACATTTATTATACCTTTTGGGATGCCTCTGCTTAGCTCATTTCTTCTAAAATGTCCAAAGAGTTTTGTAATGCAGGTGTGTTTTTATACACTCTATGACAGGATCGGTGGGATACTACACTGACATTAGAAGTCTAGCAGCACAAACCTGGCTATGGCTACTCAGAAGTAAGTGATATCTTCTTCACCAAAAAAAAGTTGCCATAAGGAAACCTTACCCTTGTTGATCTCCTGAGATGAAAAGTTTATGCAATGCTTGATTTAACCAATAGATGTCTCTGTATACTTCACAGTTCCTGGCAGGACACGCGGCTGTTTAAAGTTGGAATTTGAGCTGTGTGGACATTTTGACCCTGATCCAGAGGTGATTCGTGCGACTAGTGGCGATTTGTGTGGACACTGTGGCTGGGAGAAGTACCCAGGGCCAGATTCGTGTTTGATGAGGCCCTAAGCTACTGAAGGTAATGGGGCCCTTTATATGTCCACTTGTCCTTTGTCAACAACAAATTGTCGCTGTTTTTTGGGTTGAATTTATACTGTATGCTAATTTATGGACCTAATAGGTCCATACACAACACAAAACACTGTTGCTGTGTGTAGGTTTTATTTTATTTGTTTTTTATCTTATTTTTGGAAATGTACATCCAGGTTTTTCCCCCTTTAATTTTTTTGGGGGGGCCCAAGAGAGTGGGGCCCTAAACTATAGCTTGTTTAGATTCTACATAAATCCAGCACTGTATATGCCCAACTAGATGATAAGGCACTTCCTCCTTCACACCATTGCATGGGCATTAGGTGTCTGTCATTCAGATGTGAATTATAATGAAAAAGTCAGTCTTTACTGGATGTACATACCCACCTTATTAGTTCCTGATTTACCAGGAAAATCTGAGCATGAATGGCTGCTTCCGTGTGCTATTATTCCTTGTTGGATAAGAAGCTGCATCTTTTCTCCTCTTTTGTTAACAAGCACCTAGCAGTTATGTGGACTGGAAAACTCCAGGTGACAAATATAGATAAGCAGAAAATGGAATAAAAAGTGGAACTTTTTGTACTACTATTATCTTGAAAAAAACTTGAATAAAATATGCAAGGCCTGCTGAACGTGAAGTTAAAACGTGGAGTGATGTACCTTTTTCTTTCATTTCTATCTTAAAATATATATATCTAGTTGCAAGCAACAGGGTGTGGGTGTAGCAGCTGGGTTTGCATAAGTGCTGCTTCTTTGAAAAAGCTACAAAACCCTGCCAATCTGCTCCTTGAAGGGGAGGGGGGGTCTAACCCCTCCCTCTCTGCCTCAAACAGTCAATCGGTGCACTTGATTCCCATAAAAAGTGAGTGAACAAAATTTGGCAATTCCAGTGTGAGGGACTAGTGTGGAAGCCATCATCGCTTAAGTAATGGTTGAGACAGCACTGATGCAATTCAGGATAATTCTGCCTGAGGAAGCCTCATGCTCCATTGACTTGCATGTTGACTATTGCACTTTCAAATGCTCAAACGCTATACAAAACAAATGGACATGAAGTCAGACCTAAGTTGGAGCAGGCACTCCTGACTTTCATGTTAACATTCACTTTTCAGCTCCTTCAGGTCATACACACAGACATAACAGAGATATAATGCAACATTATATTGCAGGATCTGACCTGTCTATATACTAATGTCAATTCCAAGTTGCTCCACGCTCATGTAGACACCATTATCACGCAAAAAAGAAGTGCCAGCAGACTCGAGGCAACCCCAAGGTACACATAAAGTACAAAAAACAATTGTAGAGCTCTCGCCCCCACAGAGTAATACCGGGGTGTGTGGATCTGACAACTGAGTGGAAGGGAGACTAGAATGGACTGCCTGGAACATGAGGACAGAGAAATATATATTAGTAGGAAAGAGCATCTCCCTGATTGGATAGATAACTTCCTGTTTTGCACTGAAGAAACTAATTTAAAATGTCGCTAAGAACAGAAGTAAGATCTTCCCAAAGACATGGATAGAAAAATCAATTATTTTAATGTAGCTGTGACAGGGTATAAGTGCCTCAACCACACACCTTTTAAAAATCCAAACTTGAAGGGAAAAAACCAACCAAAATTGCGGAGATAAAAAACCCCAATAGCCCAATGTGGGCTGAGCAAGCCAAACAGATGAAAGGAATGTAGTGATTTGAACCCTGAGCAGGAGCACTTCACACCTTTTTTTCCCTTTTTTTATTTTTGCAGGACAACACTTGTTATGATCTAAATTATTTCTGCTTCCTTTTAAAGTACCAGAAGCATTTTCCCTTGGGACAGACCGTTCACTATAGTTTGCATTGCAATAATTAAAGCAAAAGCACGTACAAAATTCTATATTTTACCCATAGCTATGCAGTTCAGCGCTAAGGACAGCAGGTCATTTGCACAATATATTTATACCTCCTGCTGAAAAGTTTTGGGAAAGAATAAATCTTCTTAGATAGAGTGAAACATAAGAACAATCAGCAACTCTAGCATAGTGATAATATATACGGCCAAGAAGGGTGTCACATAAATCATTTTTTTTCTCCCAAGAACTATGTACAGTACATAGTAAAAGCCATCCAGATAAATTGCTTTACTTCAGCAGAAAGCTTCACTAAACATGACAACTGAAATGGATATATGCCAATCATCTACCCTGCTGCTGAGCAGGTTCTCTGACTAAGCTGGCAAATTGACACATAGGGCAGACCACACCCTTGATTCAGTTTTTGCTCCAGGTAGAGGAAGGGCTGCGTGGGTGTTACCTTGTTGTCACAGTCAGATCACTTCCTGGTGAAGTTTGGACTTACGACTCCAGTCTTCCCCTTGTAAGGGGTGGTGGAGAGAAGATGGTATGTTCCCAGAGACTAAAGGAATCCAGTGGATTCCTGAATGCCCTGGAAGATAGAGCAGGTAGCCCTGTTCAAGCTCTTGCCCCAGTGTGGGGCTTGACAGGGTTGCCCTGAGAGTTTCCGGCATTTGTACCTTGGTATACCAGTGAATTAAGGGCAATGAAACAGTTGGGACAAAGTATGGTATGGTATGGTATGTGTTATGTACTGAGTTGAATAGGATCCAAACTGCAGCAGTCTGATTGGTCCTAGAACAATAGGATCCAAAAGGCAGCAGTCTGATTGGTCCTAGAACAATGCAGCAGTATGATTGGTTGGCAGGAACTACCCAATCATGCTCCAGATAGAAGTGAATCCACAACCGGATTGGCTTACAGTAGAATTCCGGAATTAGCCAATCATGTGCAGCCCATTGTGTAAATAATGTATATAAAGCAGATACTTTGAGGGGACAGTCATTCATTCCTCCTCACCACTATGAGCTGAATAAAGAGCATGAAATCACTTTGCGACTCTGAGTATATTTCACTGGCGACGAGGATGGGGTCCCGCTGAGCTGACTGCCACACACAGCACCGCAGCACCGCCACCTGCCGCACCACTGCCTCGCACCGTGTATCCAGGCTTCAGCTCCGGGACACAAGGAACTCGGAATGGCAACCGACAGCAGCTTCCCGCCATTCAACCCAGCATCTGGAGACTGGGAAGCGTACGCCTCCCGTTTCACCTTCCTCCTAGAAGCCAAAGGGGTCACTGACGAAGAAGACGCCAAGAAGAGGGCGATATTCTTCAGTGTCTGCGGAGAGGAGACGTTTGAAATTGCCCGGGCTCTCCTTGCGCCTGAAGACGTCGCTACTGTTCCATACAAAACAATAATGGGACAGCTGAAGGGGCACTTTTCGCCACAGCCCTCAGTGGTGGCTCATCGAAATGCCTTCTACGCAAAGCGGCAGGCCCCTGGGGAAACCATAACTGGGTTTGTGACCTCTCTCCGTCAAGCCGCCCGGTTCTGCAACTTCTCAGAGCTGGAGAACATGCTTCGTGACCGCCTCGTTGGTGGCCTGAAGGATGAGAGGCTTCAACGACGCCTCTACGCTAAGAAGGACCTAACGTTCCAGGTCGCTCTGGAGGAGGCCCTGGCAACGGAAGCTGCCGAGAGGTCGACGCAAGAGGCATAGCCGAGCCAGCCGTCCCAACCGAGGGTCCACCACGAAGACCTCACCGACGACTCAGGATCCAACAGGGAGGAGGTGCACCGAGTACAGCAGCGCACTCAAGCAGCCCACACACCACAGCTGCCTCGACGAGAAGGAGGGAACTGCGCAAGCTGTGGAGAAAGTCACGAGAGGAGGACCTGCCGTTTCCGCAACGCAGAGTGCAGGCAGCGCAGAAAATTGGGACACATCGCCCGGGTGTGTCGGGCTCGGCCCACCCGACGCCAGGCATCAGATGACCAATCCAAGAGCCCCAGGTCCCGGGGCCCAACGCACCAAGGCAACTCGACAGAGCTCACGGACTTCCAGGTATACCAGTTGCCCCACCCCAACGCAGAGAAAATTTATGTAGAGGTACAGATAGAGGGGACCCCATGCCGCATGGAGCTTGACACGGGTTCAACTCTATCCATAATCTCGGCAAGGACCTTAAGGAAACTGTGTCCTACTGGGGGTCCCAAACTCAGGCCGGCCCCATTCACCCTCCGGGACTTCCAGAAATGTAAGGTCCCCACAATGGGGGTGGGGACCTTCAGGGTGCAATACCGAGGGCGGATGCGGCAACTGGACTTGCTGGTGGTCAAGGGCCCCTACATTAGCTTACTGGGATTGTCATGGTTTGGACCACTGGGACTAGCCGTCACTGGGGTGAACAACACTAGCTTACAAGTGGACGTGGACGCCATATGCAAGGAATTTCCGGGGGTTTTCGATGGGAAATTGGGACAGTATACCGGGCCCCCCATTGCTCTACAGCTTGACCCCGCAGTACGACCGGTCAGGCTCAAGGCCCGCCGGGTCCCGTTCGCCCTGAAACCCCGTATTGACGAGGAATTGGACCGGCTCGTGGAGCAAGGAGTGCTGGAGCCGGTGCCTAATGCCCCCTGGGAAACCCCAATCGTCACACCCGTCAAGCCTAATGGTTTGGTCCGCATCTGCGCAGACTACAAATGTACCATAAACAAGGCCCTCACGGCCCATGCATACCCAGTGCCAGTGGTCAGCCATGTTCTTGCCACCCTGGCTGGGTCGAAAATTTTTGGCAAGCTGGACTTGGCCCAAGCATATCAACAGCTGCCAGTAGATGAGGCCACAGCAGAGGCACAGACGATTGTGACGCACAGAGGAGCATTCAGGGTAAAGCGGCTGCAATTCGGTGTCAGCGTGGCACCAGGCATATTCCAGAATCTAATGGACTCTCTACTTAAAGGGATCCCTGGCGTCACCCCCTTCTTTGATGATGTGTTGATTGCCGGGCCCACACCAGAGGAGTTTGAGGACCGCCTCCGCACCGTTCTGCACCGTTTCCAGACGGCGGGTCTCAAGGTGAAGCGGGAAAAATGTCTACTAGGAGTGCCTCAGGTGGACTTTCTGGGATTTATGGTGGACGCAGAAGGGGTCCACCCGACTGGGGACAAGGTACGGGCCATTTGTGATGCCCCAGCGCCCAAGAACAAGACTGAACTTCAGGCCTTCTTGGGACTATTGAACTTTTACCATTCCTTCCTTCCCCACAAGGCGGCGGTAGCGGAGCCCCTACACAGACTCCTGGACAAGCGGGCCCCTTGGGTGTGGGGCCAGCGCCAGGAGGCCGCATTCCAGGCAGTCAAGGACTTGCTTGTCTCAAACTCGGTCTTGGCACACTTCGACGAGAGGCTGCCGGTGGTGCTAGCATGCGACGCCTCGCCCTATGGAATTGGCGCTGTCCTGGGACACCAACTGCCGGATGGAAGAGAGGTACCAGTGGCATACTTTTCCCAGACACTCAACGCAACTGAGCGGAACTACTCGCAAATCGACAAGGAGGGTCTGGCAATCGTGAAGGGAGTAAAAAAATTCCATGATTTCTTGTACGGGCGGCCCTTCACCGTGGTGACTGACCACAAGCCGTTGCTTGGCTTGTTTGCCCCTGAAAAGCAGACCCCCCAAGTGCTGTCTCCTCGCGTCCTCAGGTGGTCAATTTTCCTTGCCAGCTACCAGTATGCACTGATTCACCGTCCGGGGAAGGCGATGGGCCATGCGGACGCCCTCAGCAGGCTACCACTACCGGAAACAGGCCCCGACCCAGCACCTGCACAAGAGGTTATGAGCCTGGAGCTGCTTCCCGACCGCCCCATTCAGGCACAAGAAGTTGCACACCATTCCAAGAAAGATAGGGTCATCTCCCGGGTCCTGGACTGGGTGTGGAGGGGATGGCCCAGCAGCAGCCCCGGGCCAGAATTCGCCGGCTACACAACCCGCAAACATGAACTGTCGGCCCACAAGGGGTGCCTGTTATGGGGAAGCAGGGTCATTGTTCCCCAGCCCCTCCGCAAAAGGGTCCTCACAGCCCTACATGAGACACACCCAGGGGTAGTAAGAATGAAGGCCCTTGCCAGGAGTTATGTGTGGTGGCCGGGGATCGACGGAGAGATAGAGGCCTGGGTCAAACACTGCCAGGCCTGCCAAGAATCCCGCCCAGATCCCCCAAGGGCCCCAGTCCAGTCCTGGGAGTCCGCCCGAGCACCATGGTCACGCCTGCATGTGGACTTCGCTGGCCCCTTTCAGGGGAAAACATTCTTCATAGTGGTGGACTCCTACACCAAATGGCTGGAAGTCGCACTGGTACCATCCACTTCTACGTCCGCAGCCATCCGGGTACTACGCAGGCTGTTTGCAACCCACGGGCTCCCTGACACTCTCGTCTCAGACAACGGGACTGCATTCACGTCAGGAGAATTCCAAACCTTCACAGCGCAGAACGCCATCCGCCACATCCGTTCGGCGCCATTCCACCCTGCCACCAATGGCCAAGCAGAACGCATGGTGCGGACCACCAAGGACACCCTTCGCCACATGACGCAAGGGGATTGGGAGTACCGCCTTGCCACATTCCTTCTAGCACAGCACAGCACCCCCAGCTCAACGACTGGCCGGAGCCCCGCTGAACTACTAATGGGTCGGCGCCTTGCAATCAGATTGGACCGCCTTCACCCCGATAGAGCTCAAGATGAGGTAGTGGTGGGGGAAGGCAAGAACCCCCGGACCTTCGAGGCTCAGGACCCAGTGTACGCAAAGAATTTTGGGGCAGGCCCAGCATGGGTACCCGCCACAGTCACCAGGGTCACTGGCCCCGTGTCGTATGAGGTGCTAACGGATGGGGGGCAATGCTGGCGCCGCCACTGCGACCAGATACGGCGACGATTCCCGGGAGAAAACCAGGAGGAGGAAAGGGCAGAGGAGTCCCAAGGGAACAGAGGGGCAGTGAGGCCCATAGAGCACGAGGGGCCAGCAGGAGAGGCAGAATCAGTAAATACAGAGAGGACCTGTGAGGCCGAAAGGACACCGGAACCAGAACCACGACTGAGCGAGCCGGTTGCGCCAGACCAAACAGCCCCATCACAGCCAGCATCCTTGGAACATGAGCCAGAACCTGAACCCCGGACCAGGGAACACCCCAGGCCGCAACGCACACGTAGGCCGCCGGCATACCTCAAGGACTATGAATGTGACCTCCCGGGCAGGACTGGAACTTAGAGGGGAGGGGTGTTATGTACTGAGTTGAATAGGATCCAAACTGCAGCAGTCTGATTGGTCCTAGAACAATAGGATCCAAAAGGCAGCAGTCTGATTGGTCCTAGAACAATAGGATTCAGAATGCAGCAGTCTGATTGGTCTTAGAACAATGCAGCAGTATGATTGGTTGGCAGGAACCACCCAATCATGCTCCAGATAGAAGTGAATCCACAACCTGATTGGCTTACAGTAGAATTCCAGAATTAGCCAATCATGTGCAGCCCATTGTGTAAATAATGTATATAAAGCAGATACTTTGAGGGGACAGTCATTCATTCCTCCTCACCACTATGAGCTGAATAAAGAGCATGAAATCACTTTGCGACTCTGAGTATATTTCAGTATGGTATGGTATGGTATGGTATAGTATGGTATTTATTATTATTACTACTACTACTACAAAAGCATGTATAGAAATCCTAAAAGCTCTGCATACATCACATTTATATATACAGTATGAGATGTCCAAAATGTGTTGGATATTAAACTTTCTCTCCTACCCCTTTGTTCCCTACTGCCCACCCTCATTTTTCTGAGGTTTCCCATTAAAGATAAAAAGGCAACGTCCCTCTTGTTCTTTCTTTGATAAGCAAACAGCATCCCAGTAATCAAAGGTTTCAAATGATTTTCTTTCATGAGAAAGTTTCGAAGGAGCAAAAATGATCTTTACTGGAACTGGTTTAATGCCAGTGAGCTGGAAAACCTATTGCATAATGGAGAGTAGCCTTCTGACTCATTAATTAATGCTCTTAAGCAGATCTGTTATAGAACTACTGCACAACTTCACTTTTCAGTTTCTGGAATAAAGGTCTTTCCTCCTCTTGTTTCACCCTTGTGACCCTGCCATGCTACCAATTTTCTTTGTGCTGTTATGAGGTCACAGTTTAAGTATAGCCACCACATGATAGCTGATAGCCAATCCCATTGTCATTTCATCTTTTTCTAGCTTGTTTCCTCTCAAGTAAAGAAATATATGTGATGAGAATGAAGGTCCCATGGTTGCAGATCACATAATATATTATTTACACATTCAGTAATCAAGCAATAACCATGATTTCCACATCAGTAAAAAGGTGTGAGCCTACTATCAGTATTGTCATTTTCACTAAAATCCTTTCAAATCCTTTGGTTTTTCAAATACCTCAACCTGAGCTTAAGAAATACTTATCTCCGTAATTAAAGGCAAAAAACAGATTAAAGGATGTGCTGCAAACTCACCAAATGAAGAACAACATTTATTTTCTATAGTCTTGTGGTTTCTGGGCCTAGTTTCAGGCACATTCATGGTTTTGGAAATGGTTCCTCAATAGTTATTCTGACTTTAATGAGATTGTGGCTGAAGTTTTCTTTGGTGGTTTCATCTGGACAAAAAAAAGATAGAGATATATGTAGAGAAGTTCAAACATTTCTAGTATTTTCTTGGAAAGGAGATGAGTGAAATGAAATGTTTATGATTTGCAACCCTTTATTTTTCTTGGGATGTATTCAGTCTTCAAATTGCTAAATTGAAATCCATTAAAATATTCACATTTTGCAGCAGGAAACTGATTCTTCTGTCCAATAATTGCCATCAGAGCTAAGATACGTTCTAATATTCAGGCATTGAATTGGAGCACTTTACCTGCATGTGCAAAACAAGGTCTGCAAATGCCAAGGTCTTTGCGCTTCGTTTCCTTTCCTTTCAGCCTTTTTAATACTTCTGTCCTTGGTATGTTTGTTTACAGCTGTCAGTGAAAAGCAGCAACAAGCAGTCATTAACAGGACATTTTAATGCTGCACAGGGAAACCACAATTGCTAGTACCATTAGCCTTTCTAAAAAACAACGCAACATTAGTCCCTGCATAAAACAGCACAAAATCCTTAAAGCTGTGGGTACATGTGAAGCTGAGTCAAGATAAGGTTTTATTTTAGCAACAAGGTTGAAGGTGGCCCTTGTGAAAGCTAAAATGGATATTGTTTCTCCTAATGAGGCCACAAAATCTAATGAACTGCTGACATTCACAGTGATTGTAGCATGGATTTATGTAGCACAGCAATGGAAGACTTTGAAGGATCCGCGTTTAAATCTGTGGTGTGGAAACTTATGGGAACCTGCTAGGGCTGAAAAGCTTACTCATCAGCTAAAGCTCATAAAAGTTTTACAAATCATTAGAAATTGGACACAACCCACCCGCTGCATATCTTTTCATCTGGAAATCAGGTCAAGTGGCAATGCATACTGCTGCCTCCTTAATACTAATGCTAGCACATTTTGCATTTTACAGAGCACGATAGTGAACCTGAGGTCCTCCAGAAGTTGTTGGCACTACAACTCCCATCAGCTCCAGGCAGCATGGCCAATGGTCAGGGTCCAGGGATGATGGGAGCTGGAGTCCAATGACACCTGGAGGAATTGTAGAAGCAATCAGTTTATGTCAATGTATAGGTATTATTGTTGATTAATTTATAAACCGACTACTAAGGAAGGCATTCTATTTCTTGCTATAGGTATGATAGATTGGTTTTCAATAATATATTTTCAGTGTGTGTGCGTGCGCATGTATGTGCATGCGCCTCTGGTTTAAGGCAATTGTTAAGGTGCTTACAAAATCACATACGCCAAAATGCATGGAAAGTTGTAATCAAGGTGCATAATGCTGACTCTGCATTAAATACACTGAGAAGTTTCTCATGGAGCTTCTACCAAATGAGACCAGATGATACCATATATCAGAGGTATCCTACATGGCACCCACAATTTTGTGATCCATTTCTCCTTTCTGACAGCCATGTTGTGTTATGCCATGCACCCATGGCAGCCATTTTGTGCTGTGTCATGCCCCACTGCCATTAATTTGTGACTGGTGTCCATGGCACTTTCCCAAAATTCCAAATATGTCCACTGGACCAAAAATGTGGTATCCCTGCTATATATTCTCCCCTCAGTCCAAATGCTGGCCCAAGCAAACGGAATATTGAGAGGATGGGGAAATCACATTTTGAATTCAGAAGCCCTGCTTCCCTCTTCCAGGAAGTCAGAATAGCACTTCCCTGGACACTGCAATGAAGGGAAAGAATGAAGGAGAAAATTTGGAAGAAATAAGAAGGTAATCTTATGCCATTCCAACTGTTCTCCTCAGTTCTATATATGCAGTTCAGCAACCTGGTCACAACTAGATCTGTAATTCTAATCCAGATTTATTTATTTATTTATTTTATTAAAAATGCAACAAACTTCTGAAAGAAAATAATAATAAAGACATATTGTAGGCGACTTTCACATCATATAAAGAATTATATCATTAAAATTTGGGGCTACAGAGTTCAGAAGCAAGATGAAAGCATTTCCCTTTTTGCAGTGGTTAGTTAAAACTGCCTTTAGCTTATAACAACAGTAATTTCAATTGTAATGAATAGTTTCAGCTAGCGTTTGGAAGAAGTATAATCCTCGGTATATAAATATCAGTAAGTCGTGCTGTCAGCGTCTGATGTGGTTGTTCTGTTTGAACATTGCGGCAGTTGTTCCTGCTTAAGTTGGACCTCCCTAAGATATCCTGTTTTCTGAAAGTTTCCTGCTGTGAGTAATTCTTAATCAGAATATCCCTCAAAAGCTGAGTAGTTCAAGAGTGCCATCTTGAGGTGCAATATGCTGAATGTATGAGCAATGACTGGCAGTCTTTGTAAGGTTGGAGGAATGTTTGCCAGCTCCTTAAATGGCGAATTAAGAATAAACAAACAAATGCACAGGTTTAACTCACTTCACTTCCGAATAGCAAGAAACATTATTTCTTTGAACATTATTGCTGGGTGTTTGGAAGCACTGTAATGTGAATCAAGGACCCACCCTATTTTCTACATTTGTAGTGCACAAGATGCCCTCGTGTAATCACCACCTCATGTGCTTGGATTGGAGTGGGGGTGGGAGAGAGAGAGAAGGACGCCATTTGGATAAGAGCAACTCAAATATATTCCAAACACCTGGTGGAAATAGAATATCCTAATAAACAAATAATGGAGTAAAGAGAGTCACAAGAGATGTTAATGGACATTTTGCTGATTAAGGGTCAGCATGGCATCAACAATCAGCATGGTCAAGCACCTACCAAGGGTCCAGGCCCAGGCCCAGGCAGATTGCTCAGTCACAACAGCCTTGTGCGCTTTTCTTTTACCGTTTCAACCTTTTTGTTCACTCTTTCTTGGGTCTAATGAACAACTGCAATGGTAACAAGAAGCACTCCATGTATTCCCGCCCCCCCCCCAAAAAAACAACCCTGGCAATACATGGAGTCAGCACTGGTTGAGGCTGACTACTGGGAACCAGCACACAAATAAATATTCATGCAGTAAGGCCTAGCCACCAACTGACTATCTGGACCCAGTCTCAGCTCTAGTATAGCCCTACATAGGATCTACACCTCAGGTTTGTACAGTGGTATCTCGGGTTAAGAACTTAATTCATTCCAGAGGTCTGTTCTTAACCTGAAACTGTTCTTAACCTGAGGTACCACTTTAGCTAATGGGGCCTCCTGCTGCCGCTGTGCTGCCGCTGCACGATTTCTGTTCTCATCCTGAAGCAAAGTTCTTAACCCGAGGTACTATTTCTGGGTTAGTGGAGTCTGTAACCTGAAGCGTATGTAACCTGAAGCGTATGTAACCCGAGGTACCACTGTATGTTGGTGTGAGGCAAGTCAGTACAAAATCTTGAGAAGGGCTGTCCAGGAACATGGCCTATGATGAATCTGTAGCAGGTGGGGAGGGTTCCCACCCCCCTTACTGGCAGAGGTCTTTTCAAAAAAAAGGAATAACAGGTTGCTCCCTGACAAGATGGCAGGCCTCATGCCTCCCCTGAATCTGTCCAACTGCCTGGAGGGTGTATGTGCAGAAGGCTGCAGGGAAGAGAAGGGAAAACTTTCCATCTGTAAACTCCCCTATTGTATCTTAGGATCCAAGCCAGGGAAATCTATCTTTACCTGATCCAGGTAGGTAGCTGTGTTGGTCTGACGCAGTTAGGGAAAAAATAAAAATTGTGCAGCAGCACCTTAGAGACCAACTAAGTTTGTTCTGGGTATAAGCTTTCGTGTGCATGCACACTTCTTCAGATACAAAAAATGTGCATGCAAACGAAAGCATATATTTACCTGCTCTTGGATTTTAAAAAAAATGAAATCTGACTCATTAAGAGACATTTGTGTAAATGCTTCCCTTATTACAGCTTCACTAAAGCCCTGCAGACAGTGATTTGACTGGTATGCGCCAAGGGACACAGTCTCCCTTGTTCTTCCCACACCTTGCCAATCAGTGGGTCAAGAGACAATCCCTCCCCCCCACATCCCTGAAACATACTGTCACTTTCTTATTTGCCTAAGGCTCCATCTCTCGTGCAAGCACAGCATCCTGTCTCAGTGGCCACTGTTTTCCCCACCTCTCTTGTACCACCACATTATCCCTGCCCTTGACTGACACTTGTGTCCTGGGGGGCTCTTGCTACACCCCACCCCACTTTTCCCTGATGCACACCCTGTTCAGGGCAAAGCATCACTGCGCAAGGACAATACAGTACAAACACATTAATAGAGCCAATAGTAATATAAAAAAGAAGTCTTTGCGGGCTTAGGATTTCTTTATTTTTTTAAAAAAAGCAGAGTAGAGTATTCCCAACTGCAGAAGGGAACACACAGCCAAATATATATCAAAGGAGAATTTTCCTGCTGTAAACCTAAGAACAATTTGTCTTTCTCTATTTAAACCATCACTATTATAATTTGCTGTAGCAGATAAAAGAACAGTCTCTGAAAATGTTTATGAAGGAAAATAAACAACATCATTAGCATTTGTACAAAATGTTTCTTCAAGAAAGAAACCCAATTATTTTGTTATAATGCTTCTTATTAGCAACAGCTGTTTCCCAAAAGGCTTGTATAGTAGCATCAATCAACCAACATCAGAGAACATGTTATCTACTTAGCAGTATTTTTTTTTTTAAAAAAGGCAAACACTTAATGTGAAAACAATAATTTGCTTTTGGAGGCTGTGAACATGCACAGCCACATAAGCCACTGATTTAATAAATAAAAACAAGAACCAGTATTTGGAAACAGGTATACAGAAAGGCTGTTCTTGAACTGCTGGAGTGCAAAAAAATGGGGGGGGGGACACAACCACTTATTAACAAGTCAGTGCTTACTACATGTAGCTACTTACCTTTTAGCAAGTGGAAAGGCAGTCCAGGCTCCCTGGGGAAGGCTACTTTCACCAGCATCACTGCTTTTGCGGATTTCCAAGTACTGTAGTTTCCAGGAGCAGAGCACCAGTGTGGTTACATTGTGGTTGGAGGCTACAGACAACTGCCTTGGTTGGCTTACAGTAAATAAATAAATAAAATTCTGTAGAACATGTTGGGATACAATGTTGATTGGCGCATCAAAACTTTCAGGAAAAAATGTGTAACATATTTGACAGAGATCTGGGAAATTGTCCTGGAAGGGTTATGATACCCCGTGAGAAGAAGGTTACATTTCAGGGGAAGTTTAGATTTTATGTTAGCCTCACAAGAAATTGCTTCTCTTCATTTTCACGAAGGTCAGATATACATTCGCTTTTATCTCCATCGGTATCAGAATTTAGTTGAAACTGTTTTATTTGTACAATTGTTTTAATATACAGTAATTGTATTTACTGTTTTGTATATGCAGCTATTTAAACATATATGATAATCTTGTATGGGCTTTTATTTTTTTTGGTATTGTGTAATCACTTTGAAATGCAGCCCCCAGCCCTGTGCCATGATTGCTGCTGGACTCTGGGGCCTCCCTTCCTTCTGGCCCAAAGCCTTGCACAAGCCTGTATGCCTTCCCTCTTTCTGACAGCTTACTGCTTTGCAGGCCTTGGCTATGAATAACAATTGCCACTTAGCTGCTGCATGTTAGGATTTGCTTGTGGATCTTGGTGAAACTGAATAACTATTTTTCTTAATTTCAAGGGGTTTACTAGGAAGACCGTGTATACTCCTGAGGTGGTGTTAAAATGCCGGTTACTGTTTCATTGGCTTTCTTTTAAAGCAGGAACACAAAAGTTCATTTCCTTATTAATATTGATTTATGATAATAAAATTCACATTTTTTCAGTCCACCAACATTTCAACATTCTAATCCAAGAGATTACTTACTGAACTTCTTGTTGTATTTTCCAATAAATGTTAAATAATGAGCATAACATCTTCCTGCAATAATAATAATAATAATAATAATTCACTCAAAACAGAATCAATATATCTTGTTAAAAAGCAACAATATTTCTAACAGCTTGGATAGAGCCAAATGTATAGTCGGAAAAGTGAAGGTAAAAGAGGCAGATCTGAAACAGCAACTAAAACAATTGTGAGGTGGGGGTTGAAAGACTGGTCTTATTTACAATAGCATCTATATTTAAAAGTGGTCTGACATGGCTGATCTGAAAGCATCCACCAGATGAATCACAACACAGAAAATGCACAAGACTCTCAGGGCCACAAATGTCCAGTTTGCAGCAACTTCCAGTGACATTTCTTGGGAGCTGCAAAACGAAGCTGGTGTTCAAAGTTTGAACAGAACTAGATATAAAGCTATTATCTGTTTACTCGTCTTCCAGCAGAGTTATTTCCTCCTTGTTCAAAGTAGTGCCGGACTACAAAAGTTGTGAGCAGGACTATGCACTCATCCATAATGGCGAAAAGCCACAGAATTTACAGCTTCCCTCTCCGCTAAACCACATCACACAATCACTGTCTTCATTGTGTGGATGAGTTTCGCCCACTTATGACTGAAACTCGTGTTTATTCATTGCTACCTTTCTGTCACAAAATATCTACCCACCTCTCCAGTGTGATGCCACTGAGGCAAAAAGTAAATAGAAGGCATGGCATTGTGTGTGGCTGACACATTTTCACCCATTAAGTTTTATGGTTGAGTGAGGAGCAGGGATTTGAATTCAGGACACCACAGTTCTTGTCCAGTCACTTTCCCACACTGACTTCCTTTGCATTCAGAGAAAAGGGGCAATGCCTTGGACCCCCAAAGGGTTCTTGGATTAGTCAAAGTTTTAAAGGTTAGTTAATGGAAAGTAATAATATTTTCCCTGCTTGTAACACCTTTAATGTTTCCTTTTGTTACCTTCACAGTGTGATTTTGGGCTTCTGTTACCGATGCCACAAAGGCATAACATAAACAAAGAGTATAATGAATCCAGAAACAACAGTAATAGCAAGAACTTCAAATGACTAGCTTGAAGAAGCAAAGCATTGACACTGGTGTTTTTTGCAAACATTACTTAAGTGTGGGTTTGCAGTTTATCCACACGGACTATACCTTGCCGCAAAACATTAACATCCCCCATTGTTCTCATAATCCCTTGAGTCATGGTACTATGGTTTGCTTGCAGAAATATTTGGCCAGTACATCCATTGAATACTTATCAGAAATGTATTGAAACCATAGTTTAGTGTTACAACAATGAGCCCAGCCTTTCCCTGAACCATTAGGAGTTTGGAAGGCTTCCATTTTAAATTCACCCCAGCTCGTTAGTGGAAAGCAGCCAAGCTGGAAACCAAAGTTTATGACTATTATTTTCACAAGCCATAGGCTGCCCAAAACTTCACCCTTGGTTTCACATTTCATCTGAATGCAGTCAGTGTCTTCTGTAAATTAGAAGAACCAGAAAGAACCGCCACAAGCTTTTACTATTCTGACATGTTGCACAATGGAGGGAGAAGGGTTTAACGGGTGTTTTAATTACTAACATACTTTGCAAAGAGGTTGACCACTTGGTCTTTTTTTTTTTTTTTTTGCATTTAATCACTTCCTCAAAATCTCTCTCTCTCTCTCTTTACACTACTGCTCCAGCAGAGATTAAGCCTCATGTCTAACCAAAAAAAAAAAAATAAGACATCATACAGCTATCCTGGTGACTCCATCAGAAAAGTTAGAATTCCAATTTAAAGCAGGAATACTTCAATTATAGCTAAAAACTCACCATGCAGAAGCAATTAGGATCTCCCCTGGCCAGTTTGGCGCCCAGCTTGCCTTCCGCGTGTTTCACATGCAATCCCATTGATGGGAAATTTACTTTGTAGGTCACAGCCCTCGGTCTCCCCTGTAAATAGTTGGAAAGCATCAGAGTTGGTTGCTAGGTAACTCCCCCTGCTTTCTGCCTTCTCCTTCTGGAGCTGGCAGAGAAGCCAGCCAAAGCGAGAGTTCAGCCGCTCTCCACTCCCAGGACGGGAGCTTGCTGCCTTCTCTCCTTCAACGCAGCTCGGCTTGCCTCTGCCAGATCTTGCAAGAGGCAGCTTCCCACTTAGGAACTGGCCACAAAATGCCCCTCCAAGCGCTTGTCCGAGACGGGGCCTTTAAAATATAGACAATTCTGCCAAGTACAGTCAGGGAATCATAGCGCCCAAAGGCACCACCCCTGCAACAAGGCAAGCCCTTCCACTAACCACAGATCTGTGTATACAGTTGAGAGGGTATAATGCACTGCTATTGTGATACAACTAAGGGAACTTTGGGGTCTTTCTTCAACAAATGTATACAGACATATACAACATTTTAACGGGATATTTTATATTTTCAAACCAATGTATAACAATGTAGCACTTGGCTCACAACTTCCCTAATCCAAGGGTGGTATCTGAGGTTAGTCATAGTCAGGGCAGACCCAGTGAAATCAATGAATTTATATCAGTGGGTCTACTCTGAGCATAGTTAATACTGGATTTCACCCCACAACTATAGGAAAGAGAACTAGAGGGTAGAAAACACACACCATAGCAACCACCTTTCAAATCCTGCTCCAAATCATGGGAGTTTTACATTAAAGTTCCCTTTACAGAGAAGTGAAAAATTCAAATCCAAACCTGCTAGGTTTCCAGATGAACCCTGTAAAACAAATACAGAACAGAGCACACTAAAAAAGCATATAAGATAAAAGCTTCTTTGAACCCACCCTTTCCTTTGTTTACCAAGCTGAGCCGAGCTGTTAGGGGCCTAATTATCCCAAATAAATAGCTGCTGCTGAATTTCAGCAATATAACTACCTCAGAAGGAGGAGGGGGAAGATTCCTCCTCCACCATCTTGGCATCCAAATGCCTCAGGGGGAAAAAACTTTACTGAGCATGAGCAGCAAAATCTTCCCGTTCCCCACTTTCCCACTCTATGGAATTCTCCAGCACCCACTATATTGCTATAAAATGCTCATGTTGGGGACTGCCAGCCTGGTGTTCCTGTGTGCCCTTCTAGGCATCTCTCTCTCTGGCCCTTGTGCCTCTCCCTAGGCTATGCCCACCTCAGGTCACGTCCCTTACAGATAATGCTGTTTAACACTTGCTCAGGTGTTCTTGCCAAGTTGGAATGTGTCCTTGAATTGTAAAAAGTCATTTTACTTCCTAGATGAATAATAGTGAGCAGTGTGTTCCAGGACCGTGTGGAGTGTGTGTCAGGTACACGCTCTGGACCCTGGAAGGCAATGCCGGCTGGTGCGGGGACAGAGACCTTCTTATTTGTTTGAATTTACCCTGGTGCACAGGCCTGGTGTGTGAAGAAACCTTTTGACTCAAATGTAGCCTACTGGACAAAGTTAAGAGCCACATCCATTGCTCTGCCCACTTTTGCCTCAAAATCTGACAGAAATTTTGAAATAATTACTACAATCAAAGTAGAAATACGGGACGCAGGTGGCGCTGTGGTCTAAACCACTGAGCCTAGGACTTGCCGATCGCAAAGTCAGTGGTTCAAATCCCCGTGATGGGGTGAACTCCCATTGCTTGGTCCCAGCTCTTGCCCACCTAGCAGTTCGAAAGCACATCAAAGTGCAAGTAGATAAATAGGTACCGCTCTGGCAGGAAGGTAAACAGCGTTTCCATGCTCTGCTCTGGTTTCGCCACAAGCGGCTTAGTCATGCTGGCCACATGACCCGGAAAAACTGTCTGCCGACAAACGTTGGCTCCCTCAGCCAGTAAAGCGAGATGAGCACCGCAACCCAAGAGTCGTTCGCGACTGGACTTAACTGTCGGGGTCCTTTACCTTTACCTTTTAAATAGAAATACAGCACATATTAGTACCATTGTGGGGAAGACAAGGACCATGTGATCTATGGCTACAGGCAGGCACACCATATGTTTAAAGCACATGACTTCCCCCAGCTAATCATGGAAACGGGAGTTTGTTAATGGTGCTGGGAATTGTAGCTTTCTGAGGGGCAAGCTACAGTTCTCTGTTTCTTTGAGGGAAGCCACATGCTTTACAAATGTATGGTGTGTAGGTAGGCTGTCCATCTGCTCAATCCAGGTACAAAGTGATGGTGGGCCAATTCAAATCCCCTGCTCTCCCTTCTTTTGGCTCTGTCTTTAAACCAAACTGGGCCTGGAAACCTGAGGCTTTTCTCTTGGGCATGGTTGGCCAATTGGTGTCAAGGAAGGATAGGACGTTTTTCATGTATGCCACTACAGCAGCAAGAATTCTTCTGGCAAAGTATTGGAAGACACAAGAACTACCCACTCTGGAAGAATGGCAGACGAAGGTGATTGACTATATGGGACTGGCAGAGATGACCGGCAGAATCCGTGACCAGGGGAAAGAGACAGTGAAAGAAGACTGGAAGAAATTTAAAACATATCTTAAAAATTGCTGTAAAATTGAGGAGTGTTAAGATGTTAAGGAACTAAGAAATAGAGAATTGCAGCTGTAATCAATAAGTTAAAGAAAAAAGAATCTAATGAAAGTGATTTAAATAATTAATTAATTGGAGGAGTTGCTGAAGAAATGTAAAACAAGGATGCAGAAAAGGGGAGGTATGGGGAAGTCCGGGAAGTAAGGTGTATGAAAATAAGACTATGAAATTATACATGTTTATATGTTTGTATGTTTTTGTTTTGTGTATGGTTTGTTTTTATTATGTGTTTGGAAAATCAATAAAAATTTATTTAAAAATAAATAAATAAACCAAACTGGGCCTGGACATCCCTCCAAGTAGAGGATTGTCCTCCATAAAGCAGGGCACAGGGCACTCTATAAAAGGCACTTCAGGCAGCAGGGCAGGAAACTAGCTCTGCTTCACATATGGGAGAGCCCCCAGTAGTCAAAGTTGGCAGACACAGAAGCCTTTTTCATAGGTTTATGGTGGGAAAGTGTGCTGGGAGAGACGGGTCTGTTGCAGCAGCTGGACCCACCACTGACCGGCATGCATTGAATCCACTGTGACCAGTAGTCCCCCATGTGCATACCTACTATAGTGTAGTACATGCTTGCCCATCTAACTAGCAATCCTTCTTTCCTGATCACGTGTACAGAACTGATTGCACTGGCAATATCACATTGTGTTGGTGTGGTTGGATGTGACTGAACAAGTGAGAAGGGCTATGGTCTAATTCAGAATAAGGCAGAGTCAAGTATTATTATTATTCACAGAGGTTCCCAAACTGTGGTCTGTGGACCACCAGTGGTCTGTGAACTTCATTAAGGTGGTCTGCAGCATTTCTGTAAAGAAAGAAATAAAACAATTAAAAATCATACTGCATCTAGCACCGTGCATTGCAATTGCTGCAGCAGGCAGAACAATCATTCAGTTGTCCTCCAAGACCTTCAGTAATTTTCAGGTGGTCCAGTGTGGGATTGGGGAGCCACTTGTGTACAGGAATGGAGGAAATGTTGCTGGAGACAAACTAAGGCTGCAGACTTACACTTACTCCATGGGGCTTCCGGGTAGAGATGGACATAAATGCCAAGACCAGTAATTAGGGTTACTAGTCCACCTGAAGGCATAGACAGCTTGCCTTATATGGAGTCAAATCGCCAATTTACCCTAGCTCAGAATTGCCTATATTGACTGGCAGCACCTCAGGGGTCTTTTCTAGCCCTGCCTGGAGATGCGGGGGGGGGGGGTTGAACCTGGGGTCTTCTGCATACAAATTATGGGCTCTAGCCCCTCCCCCTTTCCTTTTTTTTAAAAACACAACTTTTCAAAAACTGCTCTTTTCAGTTCACTAATGAATGAACAGCATACCTAACAAGGCCCAACCTCTGTCAACCTCAATAAGGATCACTACAGCAAAGCCTGGGTGCTCAATGAGGCATTCAGCTTGGAAGCGAAAGAAGACTAGAGCAACTTTAACTCTCTATAAAAAGAGAGAGATTTAACTGCTGTGTGTGTGTATTCCAGTCACCTTTAATAGTTAAACCCAGGAGTTGAGTGCTAACAAAACTGTAGCCAAAATGGAGCCACTGAGAAACAAGAGGGGAGTATCAGCATGCTTATGGGTACCACAAAGTCTTAAAAAAGCCACCCCTCTTTTTTAAAAAAACAACAACAAACCACCAAAATCTAAAAGGGCAACCCTCCTCCCCAAAGCAGCCGAATGTGGAATGAGCATACAGTGGTACCTCAGGTTAAGAACTTAATTCGTTCTGGAGGTCCGTTCTTAACCTGAAACTGTTCTTAACCTGAGGTACCAGTTTAAGCTTATGGGGCCTCCCGCTGCCGCCGCATCGCCACCGTGTGATTTCTGTTCTCATCCTGAGGTAAAGTTCTTAACCTGAGGTAATATTTCTGGGTTAGTGGAGTCTGTAACCTGAAGCGTGTGTAACCTGAGGTACCACTGTACTCAACAAGCACAGAATGTAGAGCAGAGCTGAATGCAGCTCTCCAGGCCATTCTGAGTGCTTTCAATACATTTCCATTGTTTCATCACTTGTCATTTGCCGCCCTGGGCTCCTTTGGGAGGAAGGGGGGGTATAAGTTTGATAATATAAATAAACAAATTCCATCCTGTCCTCAGTACTCACCCCAAGCTGCAACACTTCCCAGCCCCACCGCCTTCTGCACAAGTCACCGACTCTGTTTTCCACCTTCCTTGAGTGTTTTTGCCCGACTGGAATATATCCTTGAACTCTGATGATGCTTACTGCTTGTCTGGAAAGAGGGAGCTATGTGAATATGTAGTGGGAAAAGCCAACTGTGCAAAGGCAAAATTCACATTCGTTGCTTTGGCCTCTGTTGCTGCCCATTCCTGGCATGTGGACCCCTGAAGATTGGCATGTAGACAAAGTGGTCCTGGATCTGAAAATGGTTCCACACCCGATGTAGAGTGAAGGTTGGAAAAGGGAGAAAATAACGGCGTGTGGGCGAGAGGAAGGCTGGAATCCTGAACAGGAGCCCCCCAGTTTTATGTGGAGAATACAGTGCCACATTGTGTTGCAAGTCCCTTTGCACAGTGCCAATAACGACACTATCCCAACTATGCTTGCTGGAGTTTCCAGCAGACAATCGACACTTGAAATCCACAGCCTTTGCTTGCTAAGTTCCTACCTACTAATGCTGCCCTAGCAGAAGCCAAAGAAAAACAAGTTCATAAAGCTGAACCAAAAAGTTTTAGATGTGTCTTGTTTTTTCGCATTTGGCCTCTATTTCCGTGGAAACTGAAGAACAAACTGGAACCAGCAGATGACACGGATTGTGCTGCTGGTGGCTTGTTCAACTTCCATTTCCATGGAAACTGATGCAAAATGGGGTGGAGAGAGAGGAGAGAAGGTAAAGGTTCATACAGACAACATTTTAGAAGTAGCTGTTTCTTCCTTCCACTTTTCTAGTCCTGTGAAATAGCAAGGCCCTGAAGATGCTCTGTATGAGAGCCTGTGGAAATGGAGGGTCCACTGTGCTTTTGTGTGATTTTTAATTTTCCAGTGAAAATGCAGTATGCAGAACATTGCTTCATAAGCTTTGGTTGCATAGAAACCTTTTAACTGCAAACAAACAAACAAACAAACAAACAAACAGAGGCGAGAATAGCATACAATCATAGTGTGAAATCAGAAACTTATCAAGGCCAAGTATGAAGAAATATTTATATAAGCTTCATCATCACAGGTGATTATTTACACAACCTATAAAAAAAAATTAATGGTGCAACATTACAAATGCTTACTCAGAAGCCAAGTCCCACTGTATGAAGTGGCGTGTATTCGGAAAGAAGCGTGCACAGGATTGCAGCATCAAGCAATAAGAAGCTTCCCCTACCAAGCCCAAAAATCAAAATAATGCTGCTTCAAGCTGTTTTTACTCCTTGCAACTGTTTTAATGCTGTTTTATTCTTTTTAAAACTGTTACTGGATTTTAAATAGCTTTATGTCTTGTTGTGAGCTGTGGCCTTAAATACCACTATTTTTTTATTACTATTATTTCTGGTTTCCATTGCACCTACCTCTCTTACCTTTTCTTTCCCTTCCACTTTTATTTTTTAACTTGCCACCACCTTTTTGTAATGGCCTTCATTTTCAATGAATTCCTTCCCTTTCCAGGTTGTAGTGCTATTTGTTCAGAGTTTTTTAAAGCAGCAGCAGCAGCAACAACAACAACAACAACACAATAAAATATTAATTAGCGCTGTGAGAGGAACCCATGGAAAAGCAGCTAAATACCTAAAGAACACCTCAGTCTGCCAGTGTTATGTGCCCATAGTTAAGCCATGGAGGAAAAACTGTAAGCATGTGGAAATCTTTTGAACAACTGCTGGCCCACAGCTGAGCCTATGGCGCCAAGAAAAACACTGAGGAAGCATCTTTTCCTCTGGCATCATGTACCTTTCATTTTTAAAAAACAAAAATGCTTTGTGTTCCTAGAAATATGACCCTCTGCTATTTTGCTTCCTTTTGCTCTTGTTTGTTTGCAGGGTCCTATTTGTTAGCTGCTTTGACGGCACATATTTATTTAAAATATTTATATCCTGCCCTTAAACAAAGTCCTCCGGGTGGCTAACAATCAAAGACAACAAACACAGAAAGTAAAATAAAAATCATTAAAAAATATAAAAGCAGCTTCAGATCTAGATATAAAGGTAACACAACATTTTGCAGAATTAATAATAATAATAATAATAATAATAATAATAATAATAATAATAATAATAAAATAGTAGTAGTAGTAGTAGTAGTAGTAGTAGTAGTAGTAGTAGTAGCTAAAAGGTCTAATAAGATTGAAAGGTGCCAAGAAAAACATAAAAGAAAGGTCTTTTAGGGAGACAAGTCTTTTAGGGAGGACTTCTTTCTGGGGAGGTGCAACCACCAAAAAAAAACCTATATCCCGCTGCACCTCAGTGTGGCATGGTAAATAGGCCTCTAAAGATTGGAGAGACCAGAAACTTACATGCAATGGCATGCAGTCCTTGATGGCTGACAGGACAGAATTCATATGCAACAGAAACCCACTAGTTGCACTCTGGGCAGAACGTCATGCCTATCTTCACTTATGGGATGTGTGTCTCTATGTCGTCTTTTGCTGCTGCTTGCAAAGGGAAGTGTGAGTTGCCCTCCCTCCCTAATAGAACTACCCCACTTCAGTGCACTATTTAATATATGTCTACATAGAAGCCTCACAGATTTCATTGGGACTTATTCCTTGTGTAAGTGGCCTTAGCGTTGCAGCCTCAGGGATTTAATAACTATGTGTGGAGCTGTTGTTTCTGTTAGACTAGTAGGTGGAGTTGCTGTCTGTCACTGAAATATATTTGACAATGTTGCATGTTCAACCTTTCTTTGTAATAAAATCAACGTGAAGGACAACATCTAAGACAACAAGAAAGTGGAGCAGAGAAACATAATATATTTGGACAGCAGCATTTTAATCTTAATTTTATGATGAACCTTGCTATGGACCTCGGTTGGTCACCTTGGTTGTCCAAGGGGCCTGGTAGGATTTTTTTCCACTTGGCAGATTGGCTCCAGCCACTTGGTTTTTCGCCTACCTCGTAGCAAATTGTCACAACTTTGTAAGGTTTGGCAGTTAGGCATTGGAAATGTGTTGTGTGTTGGAGGGGAGGTTGTGGCCATCACCTACCCTTCCCCTTGAAGGGTTAAAGGAATCCAACGATTGTGGTTCCTGGCCGATGCCCTGGTGGTGGCTAGGGCCATGGCAGGACCCTCCAGTGACTCTAGGGGAAAGTTTCCAGTTGATTCACATCAACAAGTTCCCCCTACAGGTTGTTAACCCTTGTGTGACTCCCTGCAGGGCTGGCAGGAGTCAAGTATCGTCTGTTCAGATCCAGTGCCTAAGCCAATACCACTCACATTCTGTAACCAATAAAGTTGTGGCCTTTTTTAGCCCATTAACCTAAAATACTTGTGTCCATGTGTCTTATTTCATCACAAAGCGGGGAGCGGGGTCTCGACTCACAACAACATTTTAAGCCAGGGAGCTGACAGTCACCAGCTATTACGTCAGATTTGAGATGACTGTTATAAAAGCTGTAAAGTTTCTCCCATCAGCATCCCAAAGCCACAACTGACTGTAATCCATGCAAATTGACTGGGTCCCTGTCCAGGCTGATTGTGCAAGCAATAAAGCCTAAACAAATATGAAAGGAGCATAATGTACTTGACTCCCTGAAGCAAATGCATGATGGCAGCAGCAAGCTGGTGGCCCATGCATTTTCCCTATCACCCCAAGGAGAGCTCCAGTGAACTGACTCTGCGTGGTTATTCCCCCATAACAGATACAATAAAAGACACAATGAACTTCAATCTCTCTCTTTTTAAAGTATATTTCTTTAACATAGACCTTAGGTGCTGAACATGGCCTATATACTTTAGTTGTACAGCTCTTCTTAAATATACCTCCTTACTTTTTATGCCTTCCCATGTATTTGGTAGGAAACTGCATAATTTGTTCCCAAAGTTTTTCTAGAACTTATACTCAGCTTTGGAAAGAAGGAAGAGAAGGAATGACAATATTTTTTAGCAATAAAATTGGAAAGCATGTGAGCCAGCAACTGGAAGGTACATGACTGACCAAACCACACAAGTGTTTTAAAGGAAAGTGTTTACTATTGGCAAAAAATACATAAATTCAGTTATTAGAGAAACAAATATGAATGAAATGGACTTACAAACAACTTAGCAATCTGATGGTCTGCATTTTAATATAAATAGTGCTAAAGATTAATTTTTCATTCTACACATGCCCTAAGCATAATTGTTGTCTGTTATCATGTTATCAGAAGCAGTTCCTGTTGGATTTCACGATGAATACTTTGTGCTCCTTCAACAGGATATCCTTCGTTTGTCCCCATCAACACTATGATGAGCAAAGCTTTCGTTGCATTCTGTGTTTGGCGATGGGTGGGTCAACAGCTGCTCCTAGCAGAGGAAAGGTAACTATAGCAACAAAAGTTATCTGCATCCTCATGTATTTCCTTGTGCCCACCCCAGTCCATGCTCCTTCCCAGCGATCCTCTGAAGCCACCAACCAGCTGGCAAGATAAGAGAGCTCAAAGTCTCTTGGGCCAAAACTCTCCACTTGAATAAAATGTTGTTCAGTCGAAATTGGAGACCATCAGAAGCTAGTTAGGAGTAGCAGATGCTAGCAATGAGGCCTTGGCTGCATCGCCTTTGCTCTAAATGTGTGGTCAAGCTGTTGCCTCTTCTGTGCTTGATTCTGAACTGCAGCACTTTCTTAGCAGCAACCGTTTCCCCATCTGCAGGTCCCCGGGTCAAACTCAGCTACAGTTTTGGCCGAACTTTTTTGGGACTTGATAAATGCAATGCCTGCATTGGAACATCCATTTGCAAGAAGTTCTTTAAAGAAGAAATAAGGTCAGACTCTCCGTACCTTGTTTGGGGTGGGGACGAAGGGAAGTGGAAGTCTAGCTCTATTAATATTGCCAACTGCTTGGGGTGGTGGGCACTGGGAGGATGAGCTGAAACATGTAATTTGTCACCAGTTCATATCTGCTGTATGTGTACTTGTCAGTAGTGAATATTACCTTTACAGCCATCATAGTAAATCCCCACATCGTCACCCTGCGTGATTTGTAGTGCAATCCTATGCCCACTTACTTGGAAGTAAATCTCACTGAACTCAATGCATGCATTCTCTCTTTTTAAAAAAATTATTTAATCAATTTTTCAATACAAACATCAACTGCAAAAGACACATACAACAAAAACCATGATAACAGTAATAACATAATTTGACAATTCTGATTTGGATACACTGATATACCTATGACTACACGTTTTTGTACAATATTTTCCCACCTCTCTCTCCTCCCTCTACCTCCCACCACTATCCGCCTTATCTCTTAAATATTCGTTCCAGATTTCTTCATATTTATCCATTCTTATTTTGCATCGACATGCAATTCGTTCATATGTAGTTAATCTGCCCATATTATCAATCCATGTGCTCAATGGAATCTTTTTGCAGCTCTTCCAATTCATCAAAACAAGTTTTTTTACTTCTAATATAGCACAGTACATCTAATATAGCACAGTACATTTTTTTGACCCCTTGAAATCTCCACTGTTAAGTTGTCAAATGACTAACCTGTCTCAGAATCATTTTGCACCAATACTATTTTCAGGAGCTCTTTGCTTATAGGCAGCTCTTAAAAAGTTGCTTCTGAAATATTAATAATAATAATAATAATAATAATATATTTCTTACCCCCTCCCTTCACCACGACGTCCCAGGGTGGGTTACAACAATTACATATAATTTTTTGAAAACAAATGCTGTTTTAAATACAGTTAAAACAGATTGCAATCGAGAGAATAAGATCCTAAAATACACATCTCAGGTGCCAAATGTCAGGGTAAAGAAGTAAGCAAGGAATAAATTTTAACTGCTACATTTTAAAATATGAGTGCAACCACCACCTAGAATGTGCATAAATACATCTTTGCTGTGTAGAGTGAATCTGCTGCACTTCATTCACACCAGGAAAGGTGTTAAAAATAGAATTCATGTGACCGGTTGTAGCAAGGTTAGATTCATTTTTATTCTTGTTAGCTCCACATAGGCTCTAGAGGAGCTCACAGCTTCATTCTGGTCTTGGTTGTTGTTGTTGTTTTTAAAAAACAATATAGGCCAAAATATTAGAATTCCAGTATACCATCACCAGAAACCCCAAGTAGCACCAGAGCTGCTAAATAAAACCAGTATATTTGCCTAAAGGTAAAGGGACCCCTGACTGTTAAGTCCAGTCGCGGACGACTCTGGGGTTGCGGTGCTCATCTCGCTTTACTGGCCGAGGGAGCCAACGTTTGTCCGCAAACAGTTTTTCCGGGTCATGTGGCCAGCATGACTAAACTGCTTCTGGCAAAACCAGAGCAGTGCACCTTCCTGCCTATTTATCTACTTGCACTTTGATGTGCTTTCAAACTACTAGGTGGGCAGGAGCAGGAACCGAGCAACAGGAGCTCACCCTGGCGCAGGGATTCGAACCACCGACCTTCTGATCGGCAAGCCCTAGGCTCTGTGGTTTAGACCACAGCGCCACCTGTGTCCTTGTATATTTACCTACCAGTTGCAAATGCCTTTCCTGAATAAATAGTTTCTAACCTTCTAAAAGTCAGGAGGACACCAGCTGCAGAGAAGGCTTGGGTTTTTTCAGCCAACTGCTGACCCTCTGATGGTGGTGGCATGCAAAACAGGGCCTCACCTCAGGATCACCTTAAGGCACAAGGGGAATATACAGCAGGAGGAGGAGGAGTAAGCAGGGTTCAGGCTGCATAGCACTTCAAAATGTCAAACCCAGCTCGTAATACGAGCTCTACTTTAGGTGGGCTGTGCTGAAGGATTTATTTTTCTTTACATTATCAAAATTGACTGAAGCATGAATGAAGCTCAAGCATTTTCATCTTGCCAGGATTTTGTTAAGCAGGACAATTGTCAAACATAAATATTCTTCTAGTGAGAGTAAAACATCTACACAAACCATTATCATAATCATTAGATCTATTTCAGATTCACAAAGCAGAGATAGCCAAGATAAAAGTTATTAAGGTAGATGACAGCAGGTAAAGAGTTTTAAAAGGGACGAGTTCACTCTCTTCTAATATGATTTATATACGGAAAGGTGCTTTTAAAGAATTGGCAGCATGGTGGTGAAAAGATTGCTATATTAATAAATTATAGTTTTAATGCACCACTAGCTATATTATTACTATTACACCAAACAGAGTCAAATTACATTTTTAGGTATCTGCTTCTATATAAAATATACTTCACTAAAGTAATAAAAAGCATTGGTGGAGTTGCTATAAAAGACTCATTTCGCGTTTTACATTTATATTTAAACCACTAAAATGCCTATCATTATGACAGGTGGGTCGTGACTCTAGAGAAAAGACCTATAGATTGCAAGAACCCTGGCAATGTACAGAATATCTACAGTCTACATATTTTTGCTAATGTAATGGGAGAGAAAGTAAAGAGTTCATTAAGAACCACTCGGGAGTCAAGGCTAGGTCTTCGTCCACTCTTGGTCTGGTGTGAATTTGGAGACAAACTGGACTTATTTGTTGATTTACTGACGCATAACCCACCCTTCTAGTACTTTTGCAGAGTAGCTTGCAACAACTAAAATACATCATCCCCATAATAAAACACAATACAAAACAATATCTATCAATGAATGAAAGCAGACCCAGCAGACATAAACCACAAACAACGTTCATCATATACAACGTTATCTCCTGAAAGGTTTTCACCAGCTGGTGGACAGTTGCCAAACAAACCTTAAAGGGCAAAGTTTTCTATATTATGGTTTGGCTCTGCATAATATGTATAATGTCTGGAGAGTAAGTGCTCCACATAAAGGAAAATATACAGAAGAGCAGATTCAAAAGAACAACAACAACAACAGAATCAGTGTCTTGGGCACAAGCTAATCTAAATCTGCCCATTGCCACATCACCCACCCCACACCATCCTGTATCTCTTTATGGCTGAGGAAGGTGGGCACCTTTCCTGGCATCGTTGACTAGCAGTTAGGCAGACCCAAGGGAGTATTTGGATGAAGAGGAGAAGCTGGAGATCTGATATATTATTTGTCACTAAGAGGATACTTATGGGACCCTGTTAATTAAAGTGCAGACCAGTAGTTTTTAAAATAGTCATCATTCACACTGAATTACCTCAGAAACAACTTAGCAGGGATTTATTAATGCTCTCCTAATGATAAATAAGCTTTCCTGAAAGACAACTTGCCTGCTTGCACTGCCAGTCAACCTAATAAGTGTAGCCAGTACTCCACATAAAATGAGTGTGCCCATGGTATGCTGGATTCCAACTCCCTTCAACACAGCCAGCATGCTCAATGGTTAGGGATGCTGAGAGTTGGAGTCTGCAACATCTGAAGGGTGCCACATTGATGGTCCCTGTTATGCAGTTTTTTGCAGCTCATGGTCTTACTTTGCTCATTCTGATTAGCCCTTTGCTACAGCTTCTTCACTGGATGGAAGGGTTTAATAGCAAACAGCTACCGTGACAGGTGCAGGGGTGGGGAAGGGAGATGCTGAATCCCCCCCCCAAAAAAAGAGAAATCCACCATGGGTGGACCATAGGTATGCTTTATTTCTTTCACTTCAGGCTGTAGTAGATTCTGCTGATTCTGAATATATCAAAACCATTCTGAATGAAACGTATCATTCATTCTAAGAAGTGGTAATTCATACCTGCTCTATGCAACTTCACGCTACTCCTCTTTTCTTATCTTTGTCTGGATTAACTCTCATTAGCAAAATGGAATTACTAGCTCCCCACCCTGTTGAGTAATGAGTTCTGGTCTATGTGGTAATATTGCTTTTAAAGCCTGAGATTAAATAACTTGATGTAAGAGTGAACTGCTATTCTGGCAACACCCATGATAAGCATTTACAAAGCATGTCAGGTCATTGGTGAACTGGTTAAATGCAGAGAGAGTCATGTTCCCAGAGCTTTTTACCTTTGCCCTGCAGGTTTCCGGATGAAGACATCCATTTGGGTTAATTTATGTTCTTGTTGGTACTGAGTGTTAATGATAGGATGCAACAGTTTTAATTGATTGCAATGAACAATGGCAATTATGAATCACTTGCATACAAACCACTTCACAACCTTCATAAAGTTTGTCCTCAAAGGAACTCTGTTAGGCTTGCCTTGGAAATTCCCATTTCATAGTTGGAGAACTTAGGCCAAGAAGGAGGCTGCATCAGGTTTCATGGCTGAACAGGGGACTTCACCCCAGCACCACTCTCTCAGTACCAAATAACCCCCTAGGACCTGTCCCTGTAGGCATTTATCTGTCTGAGGAGACAATGGAAGGGTGTGCCTTTAGGGGTTAAGTCTAACTGTTGGAGAGTTACAGTGCCTGCTGTTGCTGTAGACCACATTGACTCTTATTTAAGGGCCGCTTAAAAGTCCGCCCCCGCCCCCCAATATATACCTATAGGCATTTTTACATATGCTTAAAGACGCTCTTGCTTCATTAGGTTTAGACATGAAAATGTGAATCCTGTATTAACCATAATGTCCATTGGCGTTGCAAATGCCTCTCCTCTGTCTCCCTTGCATGAGCAACAATCAGATATTAAAATAAATAAAGTAAAGTAAAAACGCCCCTCAGATTTCCTGGGTTCTGAAATGAAACACAACTTTGAATTCTCAAAGCTGACATTAAGACTGCTGCCCAGATTGTTTTTAGTCCCTCCTGAGCTCGAGCCTGAGGTGCACAAATGTAGCAGGCAAAACTCTTCCCATCTTTGTAACTCCACACCAAGTTAGGCAAAGCATCACTTTTCAAAAATTCTCCATGTCAGGTTGCTGTCAAAGTGAAAGGAGCAGAGTCAGTAAAAGGGGGGGGGAGTGCTGAATATCTAAGAATTACTCCTCATTTAACAGGTTGCATTCAGACAGCACTTTATTTTGCTTTCATGAAGTTACCTGTTAACTTCCACATTTTATGTGATCTTTCACATGATATGAAAAAGCCACTGCTGAAAAGCTAGTGGAAGTCTAGCACTCATTTCTGGATAATTTGGTTCCGGGGGGGGGGAATCAAGTGGCAACCCCATTAATCCAGAAAATTGTGGGAGTTCTGCATTCTAATTTCATGCAACCCCTTTAACGAGGAGCCCTGGGATCGCTGCCACAGGGGTGGCATGAGTCACCGCTTCATGCCCCCCCCATTTAGGGAAGATAGACTAAAGGATTGCGCCCAAGGCCTGAAACCGCCAAAGTTGTGACGTTTTGCTACGGGGAAGGCAAAACCTGTCAATGCAGGGAAATTCCTTCTGGGTCCTTTAACAGCAACCAATGATGTAGCAGCGTCCGCATACCTGTGGAGAAGAGGTTAACCTGCAAAAGAAGGCATAGCTGAGAGAGGGCAGGGTGGGAGAAGCTCTGGAGCCAACTGAGGACTCCCAGGTAAGTTCCACCCTCTATTGTGTGGACAGGGCGGTCCCACCCTACCTGGCCAACTCTCCTGGCAACACCCCCCCCCACTGGGATTGGTTAACTGAGGTTAGGCGGGAACCTCCAGGTATCCAGCATGGGAGGGGGCAAAGCCAGGTTGCATTTTAGGGAGCCGCGTAGGATGCGGGGGGTGCTGCGTGCAACCATGCAAAAAACACCCCTCATTTGATGTGGGGAGCAGTCATTATTTCTGCTTAAGGCTGTGGTAGATTCCTTGCAAGTCAGGCCATGTAAGGTGCTGAAGGTGGCATAAATGGTTCCTCCCCATTTTATCCTGTCATCTTGCATGTGGGGTATTCTAGGCTGAGCGATAGTGACTAGCCCAAGGGCACTCAGTCAGTTTCATAGCTAATTTGGGATGTGAATACAGGTCTTCATAGTTGAAGGTAAGTCCTCTATCTCCCACACCACAATGATTCCCTGTGTTCCACAAGTAGGCTCCATGGAACACAGTGGGACTTACTTCTGAGCAAAGGTGCAGAGGATTACACTGTCTCTGTGATCATTCACAAATCTAACTTGCCAATTCAACATTCTCCCAAACTCAGAGGAGATAAAGGTTTAGATTTCAGTCAGTTTTGTAAGGGAGAAATGAAATCAATTTTAAGATACTCATGCTCAAACCACACACTCCGAAGGGATTCTGCTAGAATTGGTTTTAAAGCAAGGGATTCTGTGCCTAAAACTGCACACATCTCTCAAGATCCAGTTTCTCAAGATCCAAAGGAAGATATGCATGTGCATTCTAAAAATTAAATTTATGCAAGGGGGAGGGAGGCAAGTTTTAAAGCATGGAATCTAGTTTTGTTTTGTTGATGGATCTGCATGAGCTTGCATTCTAACCCAGCTGTAACCCAAACAATCTTGCCAGACTGTCTTCAGCTCTCAATGATTAACATTAAATTGATGATGGGGTTAGATAAGGATATTTTTTCTACATTCACAAGGAAAATTGGAACAATTGGGAAATTTTCTTGAATGCCTGCCATTAGACTAAATAAAGAAGAAGTTCGTGAGGAGTCAACATTATTTGAATGTTTTATCTATGCATCTGCTGCCCCGGGCTCCTTTGGGAGGCAGGGTGCGATAAAAATGGGATAAATTGTTGTAACAAAGAATAATTCTTATATAAAATAGCTTGTAGGAGAGAGAAGAAAGTGTTTGTGTACATGCACACAACTGATTGAGGGGCATAATGAAACAAGAGAATCCTGAATTGGCTCCATTTACTTCCTCAGGAAAAGTAGAAAAAAAGGAGACGGCTCCCTCTCATAAACAATAGCAAATGAGAGAGGAAAGCCTCATAAACAACATGCGTATAAGGCCAAAAAGTGTGCTGTCATGAACTACATCTGAGTGAATGTCACAAATATTAGCTGAGCATTTGACTGCTTCCAGTTATCTAGGTATTTTGCAGTCAGAAGGATGGAACAGTCTCCCTCAGGAGGTGGTGGGTTCTCCTTCCTTGGAGGTTTTTAAGCAGAGGTTGGGTGGCCATCTGTCATGGATGCTTTAGCTGAGATTTCTGCATTGCAGGGGGTTGGACTAGATGGCCCTTGAGGGTCCCTTGCCACTCTCTACAATTCTATGATTTATGATTCTATGAAGACATAGGCAGTTCTCCCTTTTCAATTGCACAAAGGAACTTAGTGTCTGTTTCTTGTGCCCAATTATTATCATCATTGTCAGATTTGTATTAGGAAGTGTTACTGACTGAATGCCTTTATCTTGACCACTGGCCCCAGTCAACAAGGCCAATGGTTAGTCTTCCATCTACGCTCAGAAACAGCCCTCCTAGTATTGTTTTTGAGGCAGAAATAGTAAAGGTAAAAGGAACCCTGACCGTTAAGTCCAGTCGCGGATGACTCTGGGGTTGCGGCGCTCATCTCGCTTTACTGGCCGAGGGAGCCGGCGTTTGTTCGCAGACAGCTTCTGGGTCATGTGGCCAGCATGACTAAGCTGCTTCTGGAGAACCAGAGTAATGCCAGAAACACCGTTTACCTTCCTGCCGGAGCGGTACCTGTTTATCTACTTGCACTTCGTGCTTTCAAACTGCTAGGTTGGCAGGAGCAGGGACCGAACAACGGGAGCTCACCCATCATGGGGATTCGAACCGCCGACCTTCTGATCGGCAAGTCCTAGGTTATGTGGTTTAACTCACAGCGCCATGTAGCAAGCTTTAAACACCTCTGGAAGACCCATCAATTTAAGCAGGTTCCTCCCTGGCTTATAAGATTCACCACACTGCTCTGTTTTGTTGTTGATATATAACTGAATGTTTTATTGATGATGTCTCTGTTTTTACCGATGCATTTTGGTTATATGCAGTATATAGATTTTTTTAAAAAAATAATCTTATTGTGCTTTATGTAAACTAGGAATTTTTCAAATCAAGGGGTATGTAAATATATTATTATTACAACAACAGACATTTAGATGTTATAGTTATTTCTTCGGTTTGTTTTATAAGCACCCCTTCTGTGGCTGCTTTCCAATTTAACTTCACTCCTGGATATTATTGTGTGGAATTGGAGTGGAGGGGGAATAAGTGATAGCTTTATCCAGTTTCAAAGAATAGAGCCTGCTTGATAAATGCTTTGTGCCCTAATAAAGAGTGGATACTACTTAGCCACCTTATAGATTTGTTTTGGAATCCTACCTGGAAATGTGAGAATTTGGCAGGCACTGCGGTCTGCTGGTGCTTAGCTGTGCTAAGGTAGATTAACAACATTGCATGTCTTGATTTGATGGCAGGTTTGACAGCTGGCTTTCTTCCAGTTTAAAACTCCCTCCCAACTACCTCTCCTACTACTCTGGGAACTACTCAGATGACACCATAAGTTGGCGGCCAGTGGATCTCTCCAGATTAACCACAAAATACCAGCACGACCAAGCAGACAAGAGGATTTGTACTTTTCTTACCCACACAAAAACCTGCAGCATCGAGCGAGTCTTGTGGAAAACAGAGAGATTCCAGAAATGGCTAAAAACAAAACGCCTCACCCCTAACCTGGTCCAGGTTGGTATACAGGGCCCTGAGATATGGAATTTACACAACAGAGTGTTTATTTTTATGGGATCTGGTTCTCTCATATACACCCCACCCCAACACACACACACCACACATCACAAAGAAATCACTTGTAATTTGCTGGATCTGGCTCAGTTTCTACTAGTTTTCTTCACTACTTGGATACAGAAGGAAGCCATATGCACACCACAGTCACACCTGAAACTAAAGTTAACATATGGATGGGGTGCATGCCACCACTTAGTAAAAGCCATCCATAATATTGTGCAAAGAGGTGAAGCTTCGGCTGGGGAGGGCGGGATATAAATAAATTATTATTATTATTATTATTATTATTATTGCCACACCCCTGTACCTGATCAGAAACCAAATCAAGGAAAGATTTTCTTCATGCATGCACACCGTCCGAACATGTTATCTGCACGCAAACTGCAAACACGTCAGAAAATAATTATTCACCTTAGACTCTTGAATCTGTATGGTACGGAAAATCAAGCAAGAGTTTGGCAGTCCCTTAGAGACGAACAAATTTATTATGACATAAGGTCCCATGGACTGCAATATGCCATGGATTTGCTTTTGTTTTTGTTACTTCCTCTTAACGTTCCCACTGACTGCCATCTTTGAAGGCTAGCCATTGTTCAGTGCTTACCTCCTAAACTGCATAAGCTAATGTGGGGTGACAGGGTTATGAATTTGGGCCAGGCATGTTGGAACAAGCTGGTGACTGGTCTCTTCCAATCTGGGAGAAAACGCCTATTGCATAAGAAGCTTCAGCAAAAGTAGCAACCTGATCTTTACTCTTTTAGACCCATCCCTGCTAGGTGTTGGTGCCAGTGAATTTCTTAAAGGGCAACCAAAGCATCACCTGCTGCTCAGCTGATGCCAATGTCTGTGGGTGCGTCGTGTCAAGGTAGGGCAGTGTTGGGTCGTCCTCTCCCCCCCACCCCAGATTCTTGCAGACACAGCCACCCTACAGAAGAAACTTGCTATCCTCCTAGAGTATCAGACACTCTCTGGTGGCCTCATGCCCAGAGGCAGGCAGCAGCCCAGCACTCTAAAGTATCTTTCATCTCTCTCACCCAACTATAGTGATGCATGTCATGCGAGAGGAAGTCTGTTGGCCTTTTTACTGAATTCCTTCTGAGTCACGTAGGTTGAGTGAAGAGATAAATCTCATCTTCTGGCCGTAGTTCCTGCTGTTTGGGGACAGTTGCTGGGCAGTTGCTGTCTCCAAGGAACAGGAGCAAAAGGCCAAGAATTGGGGGGAGGCAAACAACAAAACAGCAGCAAAGCACACCAGCAGCATTGAAGAGCAAAAGAAGGAAGGAAGGAAAATGGAAGCAACAGCACTGGGCAATCGGGCATTGGATACCCAGAACTCTTTGTTGGGGGAAATGTACTGTGAATGCTTTAAATATATAGTGTATATGCAGCAGTGGCCATCTTACCCTCAGACACAGGATGCTGGTTTTGTTGTTGTTGTTGTTGTTGATTTGTAGAGAAAGAAAGATGCTGACCAATAGTTGCACCAGAGAGCCTTCTCACATTGGGTCAGCAGATAAATGGTGCTGGTGTTACAGTTTTCAGTTCACCTAATTTTCAAAAGCAGGAATTGTCTATTTAAATAACTGAGATGTTTTGCCAAAAGGGGGTTATAGGACGGGCTGTTTAGAGACTTTGTGTCTCTTACTTGATTCCGTCACACAAATGCTGGCCCATTTTGGATGTGAGGGCGATCTGGCTGCGACATCTGTCACCCCATTTTGTTCTTTCCTTCTTCATCCCGCAGAGCTGCTACAGTTAGGCATGTTCTTGGGCAGGAATAACATTCCAGTCCTTAGGATAGAGCAAGCTCCACAGCACCCACCTGCATGCCCAATGGCAGATTCAAAGAAACAGAGGCTGGTTTTCTATCATATGATGGAGATGCTCAGAGTACAAACAAAGGTGTTAAAGAAAGGCACTGCCATGGCTTCCTACCTCAACACTCACAAAATTTATATGAGACTTTGAAAAGTTACAACCTCCCTCACCCATCAGACATTTTCATGATCTAAAAGAAATATCTCTTGCCAGATCAGAAAAAAATAGCTCACTTTCTAATATCTGAGCAATTTTTCAAGGGAAATTCCAAATGATATTTTAATAATATAATAATAATATTTGCATACTACTTATCATTGACAAAGCAAACTGAAAAGGATTTACAAAGATTAAAACCAAAATTAAATGCAGAATCTTCTGAGGCCCTTCTTCATGTGCCTTCTCCTCGAGAGGTCCGGAGGCTGGCAACACAAGAACGGGCCTTCTTTGCAGTGGCTCCTCATCTGTGGAATGCCCTTCCCCAGGGAAGTTTGCCTGGCACCTTCATTATACACCTTTAGGCACAAGGCAAAAATGTCCTTTTTTAACCAGGCCTTTGGTTGATCTGATTGACATCCTATGCCTATGCCCTTTTAAAATGTGGCTTTTTGGGGAGGGGGTTATTGTGTTGATTTTATTTTTATTATATATTTTGATTTTGTTCTGTGAACTGCCCTGAGACCTCTGGGTATAGGGTGGTATATAAGTAGTAGTAGTAGTAGTAGTAGTAGTAGTAGGGAAAGCTTGAGCAAACAGGTGCATTTCCAAGAAAATCTGGAATCACACACAGCTGTTACCTTCCAGATGTGAGGAGGGAGGGCATTCTAGACGTAGGCATCAGTATGGAGAAACTTCTCAGGGAGGTATGCCAGACACCCAGCAAATACATGTCACATCCACTGAGAGGGTTTTAAAATTATTTTTACTTTTTGAGGCAGCTTAGTCATTTATTGACCCTTTCTCCCTCTGTGTCTGACCCACATAAAGAGGCTTAAGTATAAGCAAGCCCATATTTGTGCTACTATTATCAGAAAAGTAGACAACTGATATATTGTACAAGCCAAATAACGTTTTTAATGAAAGATAAGCGGCTCTAGCAGAGATATCAATATAACCAAATTTCCCACAAGGGAGGCCTCATCACCTACAACAAATTAAAATAAGACAAGATGGATGAAGAAGAAAACAGAAGCATGGAAACTGAGGCTTTGACACTTTACACATTTACCTGGAAGTAGTCCTCTGCAACTCAGTAGAGCTAACTTCTGAGCAGGCAAACGTAGGCTTGCACTGCCAGCTCTATCTTTTCAGCTTGCAAATCAAGGAGAGCATCACTGTGAAGAAAAGGACCCTGCCTGCTTGAGCAGAGAAGTGCTTTAATCTAGAATCTCACATTTCCCTTTCCCCTCAAAATCCCCTGTGCTACTCCAAGATTTAAAATGGTTCGATTTCCAGCCCCCACAGGTCCTCTCCCTTACTCCACAAGATGGCAGCATGAAACATGTCACCAGAGCTTTGTTGGCAAAACAGAACTGCAGCTGTGCAAGAAGTATGGGGAATCCCCTCTAGCAAGCAACGAATATTTCCTATTATGAGCATGTAGGTTCACAACAGTAGAGTTCCATTGCTTTAACGCGACGGACCACAGCCAACTTTTTATTCAGAAAATGTAGGAATGTTTAAGTACAAAAACTGACATGGCATATATTCGCCGCCTCCTTCTACGCTAGGGCAAGCTTCACATTGCTCCGAGTAGCTTCTGACAGAAGTTTACCACAGCGAGGTGCCTCCCCTCTCTCTACTCCCTTCTCTCCCCTTGTTCAGTTTGGATGAAACCCAATCTCTGCTGGCTGCCTTGTGCCACACAAATATCTCCCAGAGTGCAAAATCTTTTATGCATACTGTACTTTCCATTTGAGCACTCCCTAGAGCGTTGGAGTTGAGCCAATTTCTCTCACAGGCTAAAGTTTCCTCTCTGTGCTGAAGGCGCCTGCCGAACTTCTAAGTAGGCTCGACATTTGCTGGGAAGTCAAACTCAAGGTGCCAGACGGAAAAATCAGTCAGAACTGGGGACAGCCACACACTAGATAAAGTTTGGGGTTTTTATTTTGGTATAACTTTTTAGTGGGCACAATAGCTTTTTCTCCACTTGCCCCAGTTATTTATATGCACTAGATTTCCACTAAATAATGCTACATACCCAGTTGGAAAGAAGACCAGTTTTTTTTTTACCAACACTCATTTTATTTCCTGGCTTTGGCTACCATTTTACTTGACTACCGTGAGTACTGAAACATTGGATATATTAGCAGACCTTTGCAAAATATTGGCAAAATATACTGTGTTTGTCAGTGTTCTGGGAAAAGGAATTGCCCATTTTGAAGCTCAGTCTTACAAATAAAATTATTCCGATGTTTATTTATATTTATAACCCATTCTGTTCCAGAGGCTCAGTACAGGTAATCTCAGAGGGATTATTTGTTTGTTTGTTTCTATTCCATTTATGGATCATTTCCCACGAAATATGCTGAAGCAATTTCACAGTAAACAAAAAGCAAGAAACCTATCAACAATAAAAAACAAAATATTACAGTGTGTGTGTGTGTGTGTGTGTGCATGCGTGTATATATGTGTATGTGTGTGTGTATGTAAAAACCTTTTTTAAAAAAATACCAAAAAATAATATGTAAAAACAATTTCAAATTCAATAAAGATACAGGTGGGAATAAGTATTCAAATTCAATACAGGCTGGGAGAAATACTGTTTACTTCAGGCTTGATGAAGTCCTGTGAGAACTTCACGAAGTCTCTCAAGACTTGGGCTGGGTGCCAACCATGGAGTATTTGGCTGGGCAGTGACTTCTACTGCCTGTCTCTTCACTACCACAAGTCCTGGCTAGGTAGTCACTAGACATAGGCTGCATCTAGACACATCAAAGAAGCGTTTCAGTTAAACACGTTTTAAACTTTGTATGACAAATCGCGTTGGCAAAAGCGGAACTCCACACCACCACCTGGTGTCACAGTGTTATAATGCATATACAGTCAAACCTTGGTTGTCGAACGTAATCCATTCCGGAAGCCTGTTCAGCTTCCAAAATGTTCGACAACCGAGGCAAGGCAAGGCAACGCTTCCGATTGGTTGCAGGAGCTTCCTGCACTCCAGTGGAAGCTGCATCGGACATTTGGCTTCCGGAAAACGTTCGAAAACCAGAACACTTACTTCCGGGTTTTCAGCGTTCAGGAGCTGAAACGTTCCAAAACGGGGGCATTTGGGAACTGAGGTTTGAATGTACGACACTTTTTCTTTACCAATCTAGCGGAGTCCTTACCCACCCCCCACCCCCCTCTGTACATTAAAACCCAGGGGGGTGTTAATACATACCACCCAGTCTAAAAGGTCATAGATAGTTAAGAGTCAAAGGCCTGGTTAAAAAGGAAGGTTTTTCCCAGCACCTGAAGATATATAATGATGGCTCCAGGTGCACCTCCCTAGAGACAGTATTCCAGAATGCACCAGGAAACTGCATCAGAGAATCCAAACGCAGTGTTACTCCATTTAGGAATACTGTGTTTCTTTCCCTTTTCTTTCATTCTAAATAAAAAGGATATCTACTGCCATGCAAACAACAATTCCTGCATTGCAGGGGGCTGGACGAGACAACCCCTTGGATCTCTCCCAACTCTACAGAATCTGTGATTCTGATTCAAAGGTCTGGAGTACTCTTAGGATTGCACTGTGAATGGCTGTTCCCATGGGTTGGTTTTTTTGTTGTTGTTTTTTAACCCGCAGCAGAAAATAGGCATTGATACCCTTGCCTAACCCAGTAATCCTCTTTCATTGACAGGCTAAGCAACTGCAAATAGCACATTTCAAAGAAAAGCATCTCTAAAGTACACTTACTCCCACTGCTGCATCAAGGTAGTTGTACTCCCTTGACGGCTGTGTCTTCCCATATGTAGTTTTGGATACAGAGGAGACTTGACAGAAGTTATTGGGCTCAAGTAATTTTCTTTTATAGTGCAAAGAATTATGACAAGCCTTAACATACTTGAATCAAAATGACAGACCATGAAATAATGTTTTTCACTTTACGCCGCCTGCCCTGTCTGACCCAGCTATCAATGGAGTGGCCTGCCACAATGATTATTTCGTCTGTCACAATGAAAATCTCTATTGCAAACTACAAATGCTCCTTTGCTGAAAAGCCTTCCCTGCCCCAGAGACAACCTCGATTTAACTTTGTGCTTATATGCAGCTCTGAAAGGAACACAGCAGCCCATACAGGAGTAAGTTCCAGGTTATGTTACTTGCATTTCAGTTCCAAATAAACGTGTGTGTTTAATCCCTGGAATTATCAAAAATGTGAGTTTTTTCTTTTGACTCTTTGTTTGGAGGGATGCTTTTCTTTTTTAGCATTTTGAGTTATATCCAATGGACTCAAGTTAGTCCTGTCCATTAATTGTAGGGAGCCTACTTGGAGTATGACTAACATTGAATTCAATCCTACTATCTTAAGTCTTTTTTCCTAATATTAATGGGGGGGGGGGAGAAGTTGTGTTGCAGATGGACAATGGCTACCATTTAAATTTTCTTTTAAAATAGCCTCCCCGCCCCACAATGTTATGATAGAAGTGTTTTTAGAATTAGATCTGCTGTGGGAGTGAATTGCCATTTGATCTGAACTGAAAAGTGTAGCTACCTTTCTTCACACACCCCTCCACTATAAAGCAGGTGTGTGTACCAAAACAAATCAATAAATCCAATCAATTAAGTTTATTGTTCTGCTACAGTGAATCAATATATATCAACTATTCAGTCAACTGGCCAATCGTTTTGGTTACACAAACTTTGACATTTGATTTAAGCTGCTAATTACTGAAAAGAAAACCCGATCATCTAATGCTCAGTTGCAGAAGAAAAAGGGGGAAATCAATAATACATTCATACACAGCAAAATTCTCTCTAAAAAACCAGAAGGAGGCCTAGGCCAATAAATGTTATAAAAAGCAACATCAACTTCAATGTTAACAAATAGGAAAACCTCCCCCTTTAACCTCTAGGTCCCTTTGAGCCATTCCAAATAGCTACACCAAAGGGCAGCTGTCTTATGTTGCCCTTTGGCACTCAGCTCTGGTGCCAGGCCTTAGTTTCCAGCTAAATAGTTAGGAGTGGCCCCAGGTGGGCAGTGCCACAGCAATAACAGTCCTATTTGCCACGGCTAGTGCATTCCAGAGACCAGGGGATCAGGAAGCCAGGGGTGCCCTAGCAGCTAAGCAAACAGTTAATTGGCTCAGGCTACAAGTTGTAAAAGCAACTGCAAAACCATGAAAATATACTTAAGTGTTGCCATCAAATTTTAGGAATTACAGATCTAAACAAAAAAAATTACAGATCTATACACACTGAATCGCCATCAGTGACCGTATAAAAAGGTTCTCTGAAACAAACATTTGCACCAGCCATCTAAACAACCACAGGCCGTGAGTCTGGCAAGTCTTTGTCAAAAGAGAGTTTCAAACAGCAGGTAGCACCAACAAAAGCCTTACGGGATTTTCATGTTCTAAGAATATGCCAGATGCCACTTTCCTGACATTTCCTGATCCCAGTTCATTCAGGGTTCTAGAGCTAAGAATGACTGCCTTGAATTCTGTCTGGAAACTAACTGGCAACTAGTGCTGTTCTTTTAGTGCTGGTTTAATTTGAGCTTTGCAGTAGGTCTCAAACAGTATCTTGGCTGACACATTTTGAACTAGGGTTGCCCAGTCAGGAGCACCCCAGATCCAAGTGATACAGGAGGCATTTTGACACCTGTGCGTATGAATGTCAACACATATGAAACCGATGGCAGTGCTTCTTTGTAGCTATTAGGCTATTTTTGCTCTCCGTTTCCCAAGTGAGAGACGCTGTGGCAGTAGGACAGCACCTTCTCATTTCGCCTCAGGAGGCAAAATGGGGTGTGCTGCCCCTGCAAGTACCCAATCTGCCCCCAATTCCCATGGCTAAATAATATCCTCTAGTTATTTCAAAATAAATCTACTATTGTTGGGAGTTTTCACTGTGCAGTGGGATGTGATTTTCATATGGATCCATTATAAATATCATAAGCAATTTATTCATATTTCTGTTATATAAACATGCCTGTGCATATGGGTTCTTTTGTACATCACTTTTCAGCTATGATTTTAATTAAAAAATAATTAAGCAGGGCCACTGAATTTCATGTGTACCTGCTTCTTCAGATGCTCTGTTTAATTATATACAGCAGTGGTAATTTGTAGGGTCAGGTCCTAACCATACAAAGGGACATACAAAACACAGGCCCATTCAATCAATATGCAGAGAAAAGACTGACCCTTTCCCCTTCTCTTCTTTTTAGGGTCTGAGTACACCGATGCTTCGCTGCCCTTCACAACGGCTGCTGGACCGAATAGTGCGGCGATATGCTGAAGTGGCAGATGCTGGTAGTGTCTACATGGACCATTTCACCGACCGGGATAAATTGCGCCTCCTCTACACACTCTCAGTTAATGCACATCCCATCATGTTACAGGTACAACTCCATCTGTCTTCCTGTGCAGTAAATTACCACCCCATGACCTAAGTTCAAGTCATTTTGACCAGCTGGAGCTACAGTAAACTTGGTTTGAAAATAGGGATCAGTATGTTTCATAGCCACTCTGCTGCACAGAGAACTGCAAGAGCCTAAATTTACAAGCCAAGTGGACTGGACACTTGCCTTGACAGAGATCAAGAACAACCTCGTAAAATTGGAATCAATGCACACTATACTGTGACTCCCTCTCTGAGAAGCTGTGCTCAAATGAAAAATGGCAGTGGGTGGGAGTATTATTTTGTTGAGCAAAATTGTGTGGTACTTAACCACACAGGTTCTGGTGAACTGAAGAGAGTCATGAAGGCCAATTCAAGCAACAGCCATACAGACCCACACCCTCTCAGTGCATACACACAACATATTGAATATAGGCACAGCAAGCCAGACCCTTTGAATTAGCCATTATTAAACTCCCTGAAGTATGCAACATGAACCGAGTGACAAAAATGCACACCAGCCAATTCACAGGCCAATTCACACAGCTGGTTTCCAACGTGCAGACTCTAGCCATTCAGAAAGAGAAATTAAAAAGTCACCACAGACTAAAAAGAGAAGTCCCAAAGTGGTGTTGTCCATCAAACTTGAGCCTACATCATACAAAACCAGAGGGCTGTATTTTAAGCTGAGAGGGTGTTTTTTAAGCAATCAGAAATCCTGCTAAGACGCTGAATGAGGCCTTAGTGATATATTACATGCAACATCTTGATAGTCAACATTAGGAGCATAACTTGGCAATTTTATATTTGGAAGGATCTAAGAGGGCAACATGTTCCATTTTATTAAGTCTTTGCTTTTGGAAATCATGGGCATATTTGACCAACTTCTAGTGAACGAAACCAATGGTTCATATCCCACAAAACTATGGACCCCAGACTGATATGATATGAAGGTCTTTGGGATGCCAAGTGGAAGACTTTTGCAGATATGAGTCTCCATGTGTAGGGGTGTCATGTCAAGGACTGAACCTGGGGGCCTTGCACATGCAAAAGATGGGCACTACTGCCAAGCGATAGCACATAGCCGCAACAACTCTAGAGGTGGTGGGTCTTTCCCACCTAGCTGTGGATCTCTGTTGTTTTCACAAAAGGAGCACATCATGATTATTCACATTTTTCTTCCTTGATGTCTACAAATGTAGAAACAAGCATTAACCTATAATAAAACTCCATTAAATACAATGGGGCATATTATTGACTCATATGATTCCTTAGGGTGTATATCTAAAGCCTTGGAGTAGCCGTTAAACAGTCTAAAGCTGACCCTTGCATTAACTTCAGCCCAGATTGTTGAAGGTGTGCTTAAATTGGTCTTAACTTTTTATTTCAGCAGGTCGGCAAGTTCATATGGGAGAAGGGAGTCCTGTTAATATAGTTCCTTCTTCTTTTCCCCTTTATGAATATTGCAAAACTTAACAATACATGTTTTATCTTTATGTTTTACTTTGCATTGTACCTTCACTAAGTTGGTGTCTGAGAATACCTTTGTCAACACAAAACCATGTTATCAGAAGGGACAACCCTGTTGCACAGTCTTCGGTGGGTAGTGGCTGTCCATTAAAAAGGGTGAGGTGATCAATCAGCATTCATTGTTACTTAACAGGGTAATTGGAACAATTATTTATTTCTTATAAAATCTTCCTTTTACTGACCATTACCAGTGAACACTGATCACCTTAGCCATTTTGATATCTGGGAGGAGACTGTGACATTGGTTTGCCTGTTCTGAGTAAAGAGAGGAGACCTAGAAAGGGGAGGTTTTTATTCTGGCTACCTCAAGAGAAGAAATTTTACCATTTTGGAAGTGGCTGGCAGTTTTTGTGTGAATGCTGCTGTTGCAGTGGGACGGATACTGCTATTGGAGCTATGCACTAGGTTGGCTGAGGGCCCAGCCAAATCAGGCATATATGGAGGGTCTCAGATGAGCTGGGCACACACAGCCACTGGTCAGGTTGGATTGGCCCAGAGTGACTGGTGGCTGTAAGGAGGGAGGGCATAAGGTAGAAAGGAGAGCTGGGCAGCAGGTGAAATAGGCCGACTTAACTGACCAGTGGATGCACCTTCCCAAAAGAAAGTAGGCCCAAGCAGTGGCTCTCCTTCCTCCTTGATGACTTACAGGATCAACAGCTGTAGAGCTGAGGCATAGATCCTGCATAGGACTGGATCTTCCTCCTTAACAGCTGTTAAACTGTACTATCCAATCCAGGCATAGGCAAATTTGGCCTTCCAGATGTTTTGGGACTACAGCTCCCATCATCCCTAGCTAACAAGACCAGGGGTGATGGGAGTTGTAGTCCCAAAACATCTGGAAGGCCAAGTTTGCCTATGCCTGATCCAATCTTATGCTGTGCTGTGGCCCTAACAGTTTAAAAGGGTCTTAAGGGTTAAACAAAATGGTGATGGGGAGACTTAGTTTTGGGGACAAATCAGGGATGGGTGGCCCCCAGGATAGCATATTGCCCTGATATGGGTGCCTTGGAGCAGGGACACAGGGTGGTTTGTTTGTGGACAGCCCTAACTGCTGTGAATGCTCTTGCAGTGTGTTTGCTTTGACACTTCATAAAATACCTGCTCGGAAGTTATGAATTCGAGTAAACAAAATATGACAAAACATTGCAATCCTTCAGTGCTCACTTCTTCAAAAGGTGTGGTGGAACTTCTGGTGAGGAGGGCAAAACAATGCACAAGTTAAGCCAAGATCGAAGGGGCTTTTTAAAAGGCGGGGCGTATTCTTACCTTCACATCATCACATAAATAGTCCCACATTTGCACTAACACATTTTGTGTCCCCTCTATTGGACAGATTTTCCCTGGAGCAGAAGGGTGGCCATTTCCAAAATACTTGGGGTCCTGCGGCCGGCTGATAGTCACTACCAGCACCAGACCTTTGAAGGAATTCTATGGCTCGTCTTCTGATGTGGCAGCAGACCTAGCGCTTCAGCTCCTTGCTATCATCAATTCCATGAGGAACAATGACCTGAACTATTTATTCTACTTTACCCATGTCGATGCTGGCACATTTGGCGTTTTCAACAGTGGACATCTGTTTATCCGGGATGCCAGCACACTGGGAGTCATTGACAAGCAGGAAGGTACTCAGCTTCATCTTTGAATAAGCATCTGTCACAAGAGGATATGATGAGGCAGGAGCGGGAGGGAATAGATCTTTAGCTTCAAGCTTTTTGATGGTAGATCAGTTAATTAAAAGGAACGAAAGGTGACAATCTGTATACCAATAAGATTCTGTGCAACTGGAAATTAGCACATTCAGCATAACTAAAACACACATACATGAACATTCATATTATAGCAGAAAATTGTCAGATTACCAAAATGAGCACATGCACACTCTAAGTGTACCCACCTGAAGCAAAGCCAGAGAGCTCCAAAGCAAAGCAAGACAACTAGACGTATAAGTTTGGGGAAAAGGAAGAGAAATAGCTAGCTTTCAGCTAGAAGAAAAAAAACTGAGGAAAGTGCCAGGATGGATGGTAAAACAAAAAACCTGGGGGAAAACAAAGCAACTGGGGGAAATGTTCTACATGGTCCAATCCTGGGCACCTGACAAGCACAGGTAATCAGAGAGAACAAGCAGCATAAATATGGGCAGTAAGCAATCAAAGCACATGAGTTTACCAAGGGTAATATGGAAACTGCGGGAAGGTAAACGGCGTTTCCGTGTGCTGCGCTGGCTCGCCAGATGCAGCTTGTCATGCTGGCCACGTGACCCGGAAGTGTCTGCGGACAGCGCTGGCCCCCGGCCTCTTAAGTGAGATGGGCGCACAACCCTAGAGTCGGACACGACTGGCCCGTACGGGCAGGGGTACCTTTACCTTTACCTTTAATATGGAAACTAAAGGAGAGATATTCCAGGTTCCAGCATTTTAAAAATGGGCAACCTGCCCCGCCCATCAAGTGATCCTGGGACCAGCTATTCACTTTAATCTATTAAAAGTATGCCCAACTTCTCTGGAGAAATATGGAGAGAGAAAGAGGTTTGTGGTTAATGCCTGCTCTGTTGTTTGCCGGGCAGCTTGATGGTTCCCCTAAGGACAGATCCCCCATCCACAAGTTCTTAGAAACAGCTGAGGCAGCCTCGAGCAGCTTTCACAAAAGGTAGACCATTTGACTGATGATGCTCGCATTTCCTGTACATTTTATAGCTTTTACCTGAAACCCAGTCCTACGAAGTTTAGATCTAATTTCAAAATGTAAGATCAAAGCCCAAATTGAGAAACGTTATGTACAGTACAGTCCTTCAGAGGACCGCCTCATTTCAGAGTTCAAGGAGAGTCACATGACTGAATGCTCAGTATGTCTCTGTACATGGAAAGATAGCATGTTAGGGAGAGGACTGGGACACAACTATTCTCTCAGACATAATATGTAATATGGGCAGGGTAAATAATTCATCATCATCATCATCATCATGGAAGATCCTTGTTCTTAGACAGGCATAGGCAAACTTGGCCCTCCAGATGTTTTGGGACTACAACTCCCATCATCCCTGACCACTGGTCTTGTTAGCTAAGGATGATGGGAGTTGTAGTCCTAAAACATCTGGAGGGCCAAGTTTGCCTATGCCTGTTCTTAGGAGATGGGAAGAGATGGAGGTCTCACACCATGCCAAGGACCTGGCAGGATAAAACTTCTGTTCTTCTACTAGCTCATACCTTTTCCCTGTGGAACAGTCAAGACAAGTTGATCCATTTGTAATTCAATTGACCATCTAATCTAAATTTAAACACTGCTGAGGTGTATAAAGATAATATTTGCTCACATAAAATTGTGGCACCTGAAAGATTAACAAATTATTACTGCACAAACCTTCATGAAGTATAGCCCACTTCATCAGAGGCTTATGCCATAATAAATGTTAGTCTTTAAAATGCCCTGAAATACTTTTGTTGTTTTTGCTGCAATGCAGACTAACATGGTCCTCCTTCTGGAATTTCTTCGTTTATGTTTATAATCAAAGCTTCTCATTACTTTCTGTTAGGCAAGCAGTTGATGGACGGACAAGAGGAACATAAGGACATATTCAGCTGCCTGGTTACAGACTGCCAGTCTGAGCTTCCCTCCTGTAATTCCATCAAGGATACACGAAGCCTCATCATGGTTTGTGAGGAACTTTTGCCTAAACTCTTAAAGGAAAAATTTCTGCCTCCTGTCCAGGAGAAGATTGACAGAGCTCTGAGCAGATGTGCAGACAGCTTTCTAACTGACCAAGAAGTCATCAGGGCAGCTCAAGTGCTGGAAGAGATTTTGCAACCTCTGCAGACTTGTGATCCTCGTTTTGCCTACCGCTACCCTGATTGCAAATACAGAGATAAACCCTAAAAGGAAAGCTTGCTGCCATCTACCTACCACTACTACCTTTGAAGTCAAAAGAATAGAATCACCCAGGAAACACTGATTTTGCCACCATTAGACATTCACTTTGCAAGCATTCCATGATGAAACTCAGTGGTCCTGTTGGGGTTGCTCTTCAAAGGTTCACAGCACCTCTATGAGCTCCTTGTTATTGACCACCACATTCTAACGTCTCACATTTACCTTGCTTTTACAAATGCCTTCAGCAAGATCAATGCAAATCTCACAAGCTTGTTGTTTAAGAGCATGCTAACGGGTGCACTCCCGTTGTTTGGTCCCAGCGCCTGCCAACCTAGCAGTTCGAAAGCACCCCCGGGTGCAAGTAGATAAATAGGGACCGCTTTCTAGCAGGAAGGTAAACGGCGTTTCCGTGTGCGGCTCTGGCTCGCCAGAGCAGCGATGTCACGCTGGCCACGTGACCCGGAAGTGTCTCCGGACAGCGCTGGCCCCCGGCCTCTTGAGTGAGATGGGCGCACAACCCTAGAGTCTGTGAAGACTGGCCCATACGGGCAGGGGTACCTTTACCTTTACCTAAAGGGTGACTTTCTTTCTAGGAAGCTGCTCTCTATGGCTGCACAGACTTTGCTGACTACTTGTAGGTGATGGAATCAATTGTCCCTTTCAGGACAACATAGAAATCCCTGCCCTGTTCCCTCTCCATGGTAGCTCCATCTTTCCAACTGCAAGCTTTCTGCTCCTCATTCCCTGTCCTTCTGGGCTGAGTCAGGGAAGGCAGGGAAAGTATAAGTTGCCAAAGGCACACATGGCCCCACAAGCAAACTGCCTGTGCTTTACCTTCCTCCATCATATGTGCTTGAAATCTTGCCTTTCTTCTATCTTCATACCCAGAGCCATTCTTTTTTTGTTCCTATGACAAATGAGCCAGGATTCTGTGGAGAGACACAGAACATTAACTGAAGGGGTTGCCCACTCACAGCAGGAGTGGGAAGGAACTTTTGCTGACACCCCAGCTCTTCTAGAAAGATAGATGAAGATCACAACCACTGTAATGGATTACTATTGATTTAATGTGAGATGGGATCATAACAAGAGGTACTTGCCCAGATGGAGAAGATGGAGATAGGGTGAAGGGCTTGAAAAATGAGAGTCACTTGGCAAAGGAAGATGGTGAATGCATAAAGAAAGGCGTTATTCAAGATGATGGTTTGATGTGTGAAGGAGTGGTCCAGGTATATGGAGCCATACAGAAGAAGTTATAGGGTATGAGGCAGAGATAAAGGGAGTTGGAAAACAAGTGCATTATCTGTCCTTTTATAATATGGGCTGGGAGCTGAGCTTGGTACCCCTGTTTAAAAGAGTCATCACTGTCTGATGCTGAAAGGCATCTGGCGGGAAGGGGTGGACTATGCATGGTGAGGACAGGCCACTGAGGGCCCTTTCCAAGCCCCTCGGGCCCTCAGCCAGCATCTGATCTGGCCAACTGCTGAAAGCAAGTCTGACATCAGGGATGGGGAACCTGTGATCCTCTGGAAATGGTTGGAGTTTCCCTTGAAAGGTATATTGAAAATTCAACTAGTGCAGAATATTGCAGTCAGAATGCTGTGGGGTGCCAGTAAATTTGGCTCCATTACAACCAGATTTATGCAAACTGCACTGGTTGCCAATTAGTTCCAGGCTCTATTCAGTTTAAGGAACCTGGGTACCTTAAGGACTGCCTTCTTTCAAATGTTTCTCCCCACCTGAGCCAATCATCATCCAAATTTCTGTTCCAGTTCCCTTGCCCCTGTGAGGTGACACTAGTATGTAACAAAGTTAGGGTTTTCTGTGTTGTAGCACCCACCTTATAGAATGCCTTGTCAAGCAAGGTGTGTTGGACGCTACCATTATGTTGCTATAGACCAGGCTTCCTCAACCTCAGGCCTCCATATGTTTTTGGCCTACAACTCCCATGATCCCTAGCTAGCAGGACCAGTGGTCAGGGATGCTGGGAATTGTAGTCTGAAAACATCTGGAGGGCCGAGGGTGAGGATGCCTGCTTTAGACCAGGCATGGCCAAACTTGGCCGTCCAGCTGTTTTGGGACTACAAGTCCCATCATCCCTGACCACAGGTCCTGTTAGCTAGGGATGATGGGAGTTGTAGTCCCAAAACAGCTGGACGGCCAAGTTTGGCCATGCCTGCTTTAGACTGTTGGTGGAGATGTGGCTCTTTTAAAGGCCTTCAGCTGGCTAATTAATTTATTTGCTGGGGCAATTTTGCACCAATTGCTCGTTCCTTTAGAATTATTAAGTTTGTTTTCAATGTTAATATTTTGATTATATAATTAGGCTTAATTTGGGGTTTGCTGCCTGTTTTATAGCATTTGTTATTGATTTGATAGCTGACTTGTATGTTCTTGGAAAATTAGATGGGATTTGTTAAAAATAAACAAATGAGACTCCATCAGCCCTAGTGAGCATGGCCAATAGTTAAGGAGATGGGAGTTGTAGTCCAACAACATCTGGAAGATCAGAATAAAGCATAGCAAAATCACAAGCAGGTTCCTTTGGCTTGAGAAAACTGAATGCCTGTAATTCCTTCATCAACCAATGAATGGGTTTATGACTTTTGAGAATAATCATAGTCTTATACTCAAACTCAATTTTGGCTCTCAAAGTAGCATGCATGTTTACTCCTGCTGTTTTTGCTCTGAACAAAAAACCCAATTGACAACATCAGACAATGAAACCTTTGCCACTACTGAATGTTTTTTTAAAAAACAACACATTTTAAAAAATCATCTGTGAAAAGTTTTTGTGGCTTCTCTCCAAGCCACTGGGAAGTTCATTTATGAATTGCAATTATCTTAAGCCTTTCAAAAGATTCTGTCTTGAGATGGAATTATTTACTAACCACAGATTTGTGCTTTTAAATATTTACTGAGTTTGCTTCCACCTTATTCTGCAGGAAAACTAAACTGGGGTGGTGCCAAGAATAAAGTTTTTGAGGGCTGGGGTTAAAAATCCAATCTAGCCTGCAGCTGTACAGTCATACTTCATGTTACGGATGCTTCAGGTTACATGTTTTCGGGTTGCAGACTGCGGGAAACCCGGAAGTACCAGGAAGTACTTCCGGGTTTCGCCGCTTGTGCATGCGCAGAAGCGCCAAATTGCGCTTTGCGCCTGCGCAGACATGGCGCTTCAGGATGCAAACGCTGCAGGTTGCGGATGTGCCTCCATCACGGATTATGTCCGCAACCCAAGGTTCCACTGTAGTGAGTTTACCACAAGCTGCCATTTTGAGTTTATCACATGCAAAAAAGAACTGTGTCTATCAAGGAGAGATACCTAGGGTGCCATAGGATAAGGCACTGAAATAGCTATTCCTATTTTTGAGCCTTTGCTTCTAAGAGTCAACCAACCAACCAACAACTTCTCTTGCATTTGAAAAGTTATGGCTGAACACATTAATCCAACTTGATGTGCAAATGTTCCTTACTGTAAGTAACCATAGCGTGTGCCTAGAAGCCAGTCTCTATCCTTGGGAATAGCTCCTCCTGTTCAGAAGATAGGATAAAATTCTTGGCATCTGCTGCATGAAGTACTGAGTCTGTGAGCTAAATTCTAGACCAGAGCTGCAATGATATTGACTTTTATGTAACTTCCAGATCATAGCTACATGATACTGAAACTCTCAGGCATGAACAATGGCTCTCAAAGCTCTACCTCACATAAGGTGATGTTTAAGAGCTATAGATAACATATGAGTGAAAATGTCAACCTACTAGAATGAAGAAACTCCATGAAGGCAAAACCAAGAAACTGGTGGGCTGATCCAATGCTTTCTGGCACTATCCTGGTGGAAAGTGAAATGGGCCCCTGAACAAAGGATCTTCCCTGTGTTGTCAAGCAATGCTCAACCAGTTTGTGTCCAAAGCAAACTGAGAGTGAGTGCCAGGTTCTTCTCCAGGCTTTTACAATTTGGGCATTGCTCAACAAAATTTGGTCCTTGTATGTATGTATGCTAGTCTAACTCTCTCCAATGAAAGTATCCATGGCAGATGGCCATCCAATCTCTGCTTAAAAATCTTCAAGCAAGGAGAGTCCATAACCTCCCTGAGGGAGTCTGTTCATTTGTCAAACAGCTCTTACCATCAGAAAGATCTTCCTGAGGTTGTGTCAGAATCTCATTTCTTGTAACTTGAATCCATTGGTTCGGATCCTTCCCTCCAGAGAAGGAAAAAACAAGCTTGCTCCATCTTCCATGTGACAGCCCTTGAGATATTTGAAGATGACTATCATATCCCCTCTCAGTCTCCTCTTCTCCAAGACAAACATACCCAACTCCCTGAACTGCTCCTCATAAGGCTTGGTTTCCAGACCCTTGATCATCTTGGCCACCCTCCTCCACACACATTCCAGCTTGTCAATAGCCTTCTTAAATTCTGGTGCCTAGAACTGGACACCGTATTCAAGGTGTGGTCTGTTCAAGGCAGAACAGAGTGGTACTATGACTTCTGTTGATGCAGATTAGAATAGCATTAGTGTTTTTTGGTGCTGCATTACCCTGTTGATGCACCTTAAGCTTGTGGTTTACTAAGACCCCTAAATCCTTTTCTTGTGTACTACTGGCAAGTCAGGCATCTCCCATCTTATATTTGTGCAGCTGGTTCTTCCTGCCCAAGTGTAGAACCAGACATTTGTCCCTATTAAAATTCATTTTGTTAGTTTGGGTCAAATGGAAAGAAGACTGAATAATTTGGCACTATATGGCCAAAGGGTTCTTTTCACTCTGAAGGGTACCTCACCTGTGGGGGCTACAATACGGAGGTACACTATCCTGAGAGTTGTGATAAGCAGATGAACTACTGGGGCTTTAGTTCATTTCTTCATGGGCTATAAAACAAGGATTCCATCATCTCATCAAATGCAACCTATAGAAAGTACTAGAGTAGGTACAGGTAAAGCAGCATTATTGAAGTAAGTTGCTCTGCTTCCTCCAGCACAAAGTAAAATTAGACTTTCTGTGAACAATCAGTCTGGTCAGTGAATAGAGCCAACCTACATTCTAATACTTGAGAGGAGAGGGGATTGGATTAGCTAGGCTGGTATCCATTTACTTCTGTTCTATTCCACGAAATGTTTTCTGTGTTCCAAGTTGGTGTTCATATTAAAGTAATTGTATCTGATACATCAACGTATGTAAACTCTGGCTTTCAACAAAATGCTGGTTTGGGAAAATGCTGCTCATTCTTTTAACTAAAGAGAAGCATTTAAAAACTGTTAATGTAAAAAGGAGGGGGTGCTTTGTTTCAGCAACATCAAATACCACAGTTATGAAGCTGCAATTATCAGTGCACTTGATGCAGAACTTTATGAATCAGTAAACTAA